CCGCACCCGGAGGTGGTCATCAGTTGGCTCCTAAATAAAATTGTGTGCTAGTTCAGTGAAAATGGACGTCACACTAAACTCCAAAACATATAAATGAACTAAAATTAAAAACATATACAAGACTAACAAAGGCCAGAGGCTCCTGACTTAGGACAGGCCCAAAAATGCGGCAGGGTTAAACATGTTTTGTGAGATCTCACCTCTAGTCAATGTAGAAAAAAAGAAACACATATCAATACGCACAGTAAAACTCAGTTTAAAAGAGGTCCGAGTCCGATGTCAGAAAAGGGAACAAAATGACAATGATACATAAATGAACAAAGGAAAAATTTGAAAACTGCTATAGATAAATTGAAAACTGCTATAGAAAATCTGACAGGGCAGGAATTTTCAAAATGTTGAGATCTCCCTACCATCTATTTACGTCAAAACTGTCAGACGAGCTCGTGTTGGAGTTTTTGCCCTTAAATGACATAATTTTTGCCTATTATTTACATTACACTTTTACACGGACAGCAACGTCGCAGGCGAAACACAGAGTTCCGCGGAACCCCCTTACGATTTTTGTGTATAACATGTATTCCTTTTAGGTTATTGACATTATCAAATATTTTTTCTGTGTTTATAGTCATATAGGGAGAGGATGACACTAATGTTGTGTCCAATCCCTTTGCAACTTTTGCAGATAAGATATGTTTAAAACTAAATGAATTAAACTATGGATTTCTTTGAAGTATTATATTGTTTTTTTCTCATTGTTTAAGACACTACTATCAAGGGGTTATGTTCGGCTATTGTCCCATTGGCTATCGTACCACATCTTTCTTATATCAATAATAACATTTGCAAAGCTATTTTTTTTTTATTATATATAAATATTGTTACCATTTTAAGGGGAGTTAGTTCTGGCAATTTTTTTTTTTTATAAATATACCCTTATACCCTTTCCATATCTTTTTGATAGGGTGCTGCTTCTATGTTTACTAACAACTACATATTTCGATAGTTTCAAATGCCCAAGATGATAAAAACACAAAAAAAAACTTTATTAATATTTAACCGGAGTTATTATGATTGGACAAACAAATACTACCTGTCAAAACGCGGACGTGACAGAAGACACCTTTAAGTAGCGTCAACAGTAAACATTTGGTATACAATTTAATTTGTTCATGTTTTTGTTCATATATCATAAACAAATGGTTTGGATCCAGATATTTCTGATCGTTATGCTGAAATAACTTGCTATACATATAAATTGTAAGTACATAGCACGCTAATTATAAGTGTCTTTACCCGAAAAGAGAAAACAACTTTTTTGTAGAGTTACAGAAGTCAGTAAATTTAGGACGGTAGATCATAAATGACACGTGTACATAACTACACACATTTCTGTATGGTCTTAATTAAGGCGATATCTATGTATTGTTTGGTACAATAATGAAATGTTCACTCAAATGGCATACATTTGACTTGTACCATCTTCATGTTTGCATCACATATGCCTGTGATCAGTTAAGGTATGAAAGTTTATCATACAGACAAAAGTCTGTTCGTCTTCTACAGGCCTTATAATAGAGATCAAGGTGCAGTCAACGCAAACAATTACATTCAGCATAACGTAGATACTGTAAAAATCTTGTTTAATTCCTCTCAATGCTGCTTGTTCATTGGAAAAATTTATTTCGGTCAGAAGAGAGATGCAAATTAACTCTACTACGGAGGATATTGAACGACTGACGGATGACTAGCTTATCCCATGAATATCTCCTATCTCGAACACGAAACCCCCCTTTTGCATAATACATGTATACATAATGTAACTTGTCAATACTTGGCAGAAAGGAGGTTTTGCGAAATTTCTCAAAGTTGCCCTTTCAAGGCGTGGTAAAAGTTTATCTGCAAACTAAAATATGCCCCGTCTATCAAGACGGTATAGCGAGATATAACATCTGTGTCGTTTAAATTGTCCATGATTTCAATCCTTTCCCTGAAAACCCTTTGTCGGCTAAAGTGTTGGCGTCGGTTGTGCCTCAAAATGTACAAGGCGACGGCCATCTTTGATGTAACGATCGCTTTGCGACAGGTTTAACTACACGCAAATAGCGTTCGCGATTCACACGCAATGTACGACCATCGCAAAGTACGATTGTTTTATGAAACGGAATTTTAGCGTTACGTTTGGTTAACGATCAAACGTACGCTAACGATTGTTTTATGAAACGGCAGCCTGGTGCACTTAAGTCAATGCCAACATAATAGTAATTGAATTATAATATGTTGTTATTATATTGTTGTATGTGTTTCTTTTGGGTTTGTTTTTTATTACACATGTTACATATCTATGATAGCAGAATTCAAAGATGGTCTTTATTTTTGCAATTCTGTCATAAATTCCTTATTAAGAATAAATTCAGTTGACGAACGCTCTTTCCTACCTAAACACGTTTATTTTCTCAAAGTCTTTCACTTGCCAAAAAAAACCGCAGTAGCCATGCAATTACGACTCAGAAAGAGGTGCTATTAGTACTAGGAAATATAAAAAAAACAAACTATCGCTGTTTACCTTAATTATTAGCAGAACTTCATAAGACAGGATAGGACGGAAAAATGAATCAAACACAATTGACGATAGCCTTTTCCTATCCATACCAATATGAAAGTGATGTGCACTATATAAGTAGCCGGAAAATGCAGAATGCAAACATTTACTGAATGTTTTATTTTGTCATACGCCCATTTCTAAGAGAAATTTTAGTTGTTTACATTGTAAACGTAATTTTAGAAAAAAATTGGTGACTTGCTAAATCAAACAAAAACTTCCACTATCAAAAATATAGATGTGCTTTAAAGATATAAGCTGAAAAATGATCTATGTGTTACTATTCTGTCATATATTCCCGTTCGAAGAAACATTTAAGTTGAAGATCGCTCTTTCCTACCTACACATTTTCAAATTATAATATTTATTTTTATATTTAATTTCATAATAAAAGAGCAGTACCTTACTATTTTCTATCAATTACGACTCAGAAATAGGTACAATAAATATAAGAAAACATAAAAACAAACTATCGCTGTCTACATTATTTACAGAACTTAAAAAGACAGGTCGAGACGGACTTTAAAATTAAACAGTTTACATAAACTAATGATCATCCTTATCTACACTGTAAACAGCGTGTTTCGATCCTAAATACAATTCTGAACCTATTTTGTGTGCACTATTTTTTTTTTATCTAACCATGTCCCAGTTACAAGTGTTTTAGTTTGTGTTTAGGATCGATGTTACCTTAGAAATAATTGTTTCAGTCCTAAACACTTTAATCCAAAAAAACACATTTAAATATGTTGATATTCAAGACGTTTTTACATTTAATGTACTTTAATACTTAGGAATGTGTTTAGATACTGAAAATAATACTACACTACCAACAATTTGCCTAACGTTTACATGTACATTAAATGCCGCTATATAAATAGTACTTTTAGGAAACACCACTAATCAGTACATTAAATACCACTATATAAACAGTACATTAAATGCCGATATATAAACAGTACTTTTAAGAAACATCACTAATCAGTACATTTATTTATATATCATTTTTAGTAATGTTGAGAAAAAATTGTTTTCAGTACTGAAAATTTCAGTCATTTTTCAGTACTGAATATTTCAGTCATTTTTCAGTACTGAAAATTTCAGTCATTTTTCAGTACTGTAAATTTCAGTCATTTTTCAGTACTGAATATTTCAGTCATTTTTCAGTACTGTAAATTTCAGTCATTTTTCAGTACTGAATATTTCAGTCATTTTTCAGTACTGTAAATTTCAGTCATTTTTCAGTACTGAATATTTCAGTTATTTTTCAGTACTGAATATTTCAGTCATTTTTCAGTACTGTAAAGTTTAGTAGTTTTTCAGTTCTGAACATTTCAATCAACTTTCAGTAATGAAATAGTATTCATATTTTATACCTAATCAAAAAGTCATCTAAGAACTATACTATTGTAAGACGATTTTTGTTAAGTATTCTTTCATTTAACTTTCCATTTTGCCTTGAAAGTTTTTTTCGATGAACCACATGCTTACGCTGCATTTTGTTTATATATCTTATTAACCTTGTTTATATCTTGTTTCATTTTTGGCTGCTGCTTTAATGTTAAAGTTAAATATTCAAATAGACACTTCAGCTAGAACAGATGTGTCTCCTAAAGGTAAGGAGTGTTACACTAACAGAGATTTGAGTTTCCATGCAATATTATACCCTCATTGTTAATGTGTATGAAAAGCAGATTTTCAGCAATGTCATTTATAAGTCACAATGTCACAGTCTTTAACAGTAGGTAGTCCATGCCATGCAATAAGCTGCGACTTGCTTCAACAACAATTAAAATGGTAATACTATTCTGACGTGCAACACAAAATTTCATTCAGTAAAGTAAATACTACACAATTACATACCAATGGCACTATGTCCTTTTTTGACTTTGGACAGACTCATATAAATGTGGCGGACTTACACTTTTGCTGACCTCAAATGTATATTACATTATGATTACTGGTTACTCCTGTTCTTTGGTTGAAAGATTGCAATCCTACCACATGTCCTTGTTTTTTATTACCACATTAAACTATAGATTATAAAGTAGTCCATATCAGAACTGTTACTGTTTAAACGTCAAACAGTGGTTATAATGATAAGACAGTTTACTTGTTTGAACTACTTAAACTGCAAATCCAGTCTTAAATGTAAAGTTCACATATTTCCTTACTAGATACAAAGTTTTTTTTCTGGTACATTGACTATTTTGTATGGTTATATTTTGCAAAGTTACTTTTAAGAAAGTACACACCTATCAATATCTGTTGGCCCAGTTTAACCAATTTTTTGGGATACCTCATTTAAAGTGACACTCGCAGACATTGTCCTTTGACATTGTAATGTCTAATATTTGCAGGGTATTTCCATGGAGTATTTTGTGGAGCCGATACCCATGTTGACTCCATATCAATACGGATGAAGTTTTCATGATTTTTTGGTTATGAAATTAAGCATGCAGGGAGAACTTGACAAAAATGTTAAAATGTTCGTGATTAAATTGTATTTCAGGTATCTGACAATTGATTAATTTTTTACAAAAAATCTTTTTTTTTTAAGAAATGTCTTGAAATACTCAACATTAGTATTTTGTATTCAACGAGAACAAATTGTGAACCGACTTTATGGTTTTCTTATCTTTTTATTTGTGTGGTTTTAATGTTGAAGGACAATTTTGAATGAAGAGCTGAATAATTTTAGGGTATTAAGGCATCATTCGTTTATACTAATTTGAATAAAAAGAAATGTTAGCTAGTTTATTGCACATGCACATCAATTTTTAACAAGGATATTCAAGTTAATTACATATTATAGTTATTAACCAAGCAAGTCTGTATACATCATTTAATCCGCACGGCTCGGGTGACCCTAAATAACCCGAACAACGTAGGACGCCTATCTGTTGTTGAAAACAATACTATACGTTGTCCTCTGGTAGTCATTAGTTTGGGTTTTTTTTGTCATTTGCTTGCTGACTTATTGACGTACAACCTACATCTCCTACAGTTTTAGTTCCGTTTTGTGTACTTTTAAATCGATGTATGAAAAATCATAACTGAAAGGGTTATTGAGTATATTAATTTACTTTCTTTCCCTCAATAATATGCTTAGAGGAAGTGAACCGAGGAGAAATTTACCAATATTTGAAATATTAAGTAAACAGAAAAAAAATGTTTCACTTTTCAATCTTTGACTTCCCCCGTTCCCCCTTCAATTTTTTTCTACTGTATTAATTTTTAAGACATGTCGCATCTAAACAATTGATCTGCAGCTTATTATCCCTCGCCCTGTTTGAGGTAGTTAAAGTTGCACACGTTTGCTGTGCATTATCCAGATTATAGCACAGTAAGAACGAAGAGATTTCACCCATTTGGTGTGTTAACCAGATGTTATTGTACAGTATATATGCATCAAGACTATGCAAGGTCCTAAAAACTGTCCACATTTGAGTACGAACATGATTAAATATCTTAAGAAAACATTAATCCAAATAGTCCAACAATAATGTGTTTCAAGTTTTTTATTGTTCTCTTTCCTCCCTTCTCAAGAGTCCTTGGTAGAGGGAAAGGCGTGTTTCTTTTTCCTTTCCCTCAATCTCAGTATGTAAATCTTCCACCTTTCTCCAAAAGGTTCCCTTTGGCGGATTTTCTCTATGAAGAAATCTCTATAAAATAAATGAATACAAAAATTGATTTAATTCCCACTAAAAACAAAGGAATTTCCCGGCATAATATTTTAGTAATAAATTAATAAAATGTAAAAGAATTTTGTAAATGTTTGAATAGTATTGTTATCAAATATATCATTTCAAGACTGCGTTCAATGAAATCCAAAAAATGGCGGCATAAACAGGCATATCAAACACAACGTGAAAATGACATATCGTAAGGTCAGACTTAAAGAACATTCCCATCTCAAAATGATTAATCAACTTTATCTTCATTTTCCGGTAAAACTCTTAATTTTCAAAACAATTACAGTACCTAAAAGTATTTGGTCTTGTCCGGAATATGCCTGAAATATTTGCAACTTGACATTAAACAAACCATCAATCAATCAATTGGTATTTAGTGTAAATTTAAGTATCGTGTCTTTCTTAAGTAACAGAAATATTCATAAAAGAAAAGTCATTTTTTTTGTCAATATATTACAAGAATATTTTGTATGAATGCCAATCAGACAACTCTTTGCTGGTGATCAAATCACACAGAAATCAACGACAATAGGTCACCGTACGGCCTTCAACAATGAGCAAAGCCCATACCACATAGTCAGCTTAAAAAGGCCCCGAAATGACAAATATAAAACAATTCAAACGAGAAAACTAACGGCCTAATTAATATACAAAAAATAACGAAAAGAAAATATGTAACACAGCACAAAACGACTGACTTGGGACAGGCACATACATATAGAATGTGGCGTAAATTTTATATGTGATTGATTTTGTTACTGGATGTGGTGTTTTTTTTTAATGAAAATTCTTCTTATTTACCATTATCAACACCATTTGTTTTCTGTAATCAACAACTTCTTTGTCTGCTGTTGATGCGTCGGTGTAGTTTCCGAACAAACTCCGTAGTTGCTTCTCTTTAGTTTGTTCCATAGTTGCTCTGAGCTACAATACGAAATTTTAAATTGATCATGTGGAAGCAAATGTAACTAGTGAATACATAACAGATTTAGCACTTAGCAGTCAAATGAACTTCTACGTTTTTTTTCTTTTTCTTAAGTTCGAGTAGATGCAGGTGAATGGCATTTTCTTGAACTTGATGTGAACTTGCTGTGAACTTCATGCTTTGCTTAATCTTAGCTTAATTTCAGCCTTCATTGTTAAGTGATAATTAGATTTAGTTGCAGTTGACTTGGATATTATTCAAAATATACATTATTTGATTTTGTGGTTTGGTTTTTATTTATTTTAGTTCATTTATATGTTTTGGAGTTTAGTGCGATGTCTATTTTCACTGAGCTAGTACTCATTATTGGTTAGGGGCCAGCTGAAGACAGCCTCTGTGTGTGGAGTTTACTCGCTGTGTTGAAGGCCTGTCGATGGCCTTGGGCAGTTTTCTGTTCTGTTGTCGGTGTGTTGTCTCTTTGACACAATGCACATCTCCATTCACAATTTCATCTTGTTAGTAGATAGGTATAAAAAAAAATCTGTTTTTTTTATTGAATTGTATGACAGTAACATAACCTAGCTTTATTTAAACTACATTTACCGTTCTATAAATGGCTGGCCTGTATTCAGTTGAATACTTTCTTTTTACAAAAGATAAAGCTTTCTTTATTTCTGAAATTTTTGCCTGCCTGCCCATTTCCTCTTGTATCAATTCACTTACTTCAGTCTACAAGAAGAATAGAAAGTTTTCCTCCTAAACCTTATATCAAACAAGATTGCACACGCTGAAATATCTTGCCTTTCTTACTTACCATTGATTTTATGTTGTTAAGCTTTAATTACTACAACTATCACATAAACTGAACTGGATCCAAGACAATGAGGTCAAGGTCAGATAAACCAAACTTGAAATACATGTACATTTTACAATCAATTCATACACCAAATTTGCTTTGAATATATTTGATATATTGCACAATGTTTCTATGAAACAACATTTAACAAGGAAAATTTAACATTGATCGATGAACCATGAAAATGATGTCAAGGTCAAATGAGCCCCGCCAGACAGACGTGTACATCATATATTTATTACATGCTTTATATATTGTTGACATATTCCATATCATAGAATCTGAGAAACAAAAAATAACTAGGACAATTTAAGATTGACCACTGAGGTCATGGTCAGAAGATTATTGCCAGATAGACATATACACCTTACAATCATTCATACAACAAATATAGTTGGCCTATTGCTTTAAGTATTAGACACCCGTCGTGACTTTATTGAGCGAAAATACCATCAAAACGTAGACAGTCACTGTTCATGCAATATATGAAGCCTCAAATAAAGTAATCCATTACACAGTTTAAAGATCAGCTATAAAAGTCTATCTTGTTCAAGTAAGTGTGTTAAAAACGGCCATTGACTATACTCTTATGGATACAAGTTTCCTTTCAGACTCATATCTTATTAACGAAATAGACCAAGTACCGGCATTCATATCAAATAAGAAGATGATAAGTAAGTATCGTTGTCAATGAGACAGCTCTCCACCAGAGACCAAATAACGTAAAAGACAACAACTTTAGGTCACTGTACCGCCTTCAACCAAATGAGAAAACCATATCGAAAAGTAATTTATAAAAGGCCCCAAAATTATAAAAGTAAAAAAATTCAAACGAGAAAACTAACGTCTTTATTGATTTACAAAACAATAAACGGAAACAAATATGATATACTACACCAAACGACATTCACCGAATTACAGGATCGTGACTAGGGACATACACATACAAAATGTGGCGGGACAAACATGCATGTATGCTGACCTGAGACAGTTGTGTAACAGTAAAATATCAGGACAAGCTATAAATACCAGATCGATACAAAACACACATAACACAACTTACAGAAACACCAAAGACACAAAGTTTAGAAATACCCGTCGATACTGAAAGCTTCTTGAAAGCCAAAACAAGCAATAAAAAGGTAACGTTTATAATGCTAAAGTATCAAACCGAAGGATTTAACATATACTAGTAGTCGTCATTAACAGTCATAGAAATACATAACTGTGTGCAATGTTTAACTATATACATGTAAGTAGCGACAGATTGTAGGACTGTGAATGCTCATATGTTCAGATTGATATGAATTAATTTTACTGACAACACAATTAAATTGTATTGAGCACCGACTGAAAACCAGCAAATATCGAATATAACAGCCGTTTCCACGAATTCCGAAAATGATAATTCCTGGTTGACAAAGTACAATCAATACAATAAAAACTTTATTATTATAGCACTCACTTTGCAAGCATCCGGAATTGAGAACATATTACGGCCAAAATACCGCTTTGCAACTACGGCTATATCCCTTTTTATCTGGCCTTCTACCCTAAATTGATGGCTTTGTTGCATGGTCTGATGCATAGCCTTAATTTCCATTTCCATGTCCTGTAACATTTTGAAGATGTTTCTGTCTGTAAAATAATACATTACGGCAGTTTGACCATTTGCTTTGTATGTTTTAATATATATGCCCCCAAAAAGAAAGTGTGAAAGTACTAAGGAACCCAAAAAAGCAATTTTAAGATAAATACCTTGACATTATTAAAGTCGAAATTTACAGGGCCGTAACTAGTCTCTTTTAAAAGTGAGGCAAAATATATTCGGCGAGGGGTCTGGGGAAAAAATGACGCAAAATTGTGCATTTTGAGCGTTTCTCGGACCCGTTCTCAATCTGAAACGCAAGTTTTGTTTTAATTATGTTTTCGACAATATTCTGGTCTCAAAGCAAAATATATAGATTCATTGTAAGACTCTTAGTTTTTAAGGACAACATCAAAAGACCGATAAGAAGGATTAAGCAAAAATCGTATTTCACATACTAGTAATTAAATGTGTGGCTGCTGGTTTTTTTTTTGGCAGGCAGGCAGAAAACGTATTGCACCTGTCAATTATTTTTTTAAGAGTTAAGAGGGGGCTGATTATCATTTATTTAACTATGTGAATTCAGATTTTATTACGCATTTCAATTACAACTACTTGATGTAGTTGCTAACTGGGATAAAAGGGTACACTCAGGGTAGTCTCAGGAAAACTGTTCTTAGACCTCATTGCTACATTTTATACCGGCTGATAATGTCGGATCTGTCTGTTCTGGTCTTGTATTGTGTTTAGACTTTGGTGTATTTTTTTGTGACTTTGAAATTTATTCACAGTACAATACTTTAAGTATCGCTTAAGTTGACGCTAGGGGCCGTCTTGACCTTGTTGTAGGGTATGAATGATTCTTTCATTGTTGAAGACCCTCAAGCGACTGTCAAGATGAAGAACAAAAATAAAAACCCTGCATGTTCATTGATAATTTGTACTTTTTCTATGTAGTGTGTGCGATTTTGCCCCATGCACATTTACTCCATATCCCTTTACTTTCTATTTAAGGGCCTGAACACGGCTAAATGCAAGTTTAGCCTTCAGTGTAAAAGGTCGTATGGCAATACATGATTTTTCTTTTTAAATGATTTGATTCCGGGAGATTGGTTGTCTCACTTTAATTTAACCCATGTCAGCTTTTTCAATGAGTTTTATTTACAGAAAAGAGAGCCAGTCTTGTATTCTTTAATATAAAGTTTAATTTTCCATGAAAAAAACGACCAATTTTTCTATGTCCGGTAGCATGGAATCTTCTCAAACCATTTTTTCGAACAATGTCTGGACATCGGTGGACATGCAACATTGCCAAACCACACAACCTTTCACCCGTCATCGTTGATCTTTCTCAAGTCTTAAGTCTACTCAAAGCAGAGAATGAACGTTTACAACATACAGATGTTACGAGAAGAAACCAACAACAGCTTAATATTGGACAACTAAAGCGTTAGTCATAAAGATTGATTGATTGATTGGTTGATTGATTGATTGGTGTCCGCTTAACGCCGCCTTAGAACAAAAAATTGAGAGCTAATTTCAAATAGTTTTACAATTTAAAGTAGGTTTTAAAATTAGACAAAAGGTCCTTAAATATAATAAAACTCAAGTTTAAAACAAAATTACTAAATTAAATTTACAAATGAAATTCAACACTAAGACAATAGTCATAAAGAAGGGCAATAAACGACCAAAAGACAAACCCGGTAACAGATAAGACACATAACGACAAACAATATAGACCATCAACACTGAAAACTAAAAATAAATGAGTAACATGGATCCCGAAAAACAGGGGACGACATCAGAGGATGAACAGAACTTGCTTCTTGCAAGACACTCGCCGTGAAAACAATTTTTTGTTTCAATTTATCATTTTTTTTTCGAAATTTTCAACATGAGGCATTTGCCTCATTTGCCTCAATGTAGTTACGGCCCTGATTTAATTAAAAAGAAATGGAGAAAAAAATAAGGAGGTGTGGTATGATAACAATGATTACCAATGATACAATTATCCACCAAATTTCAAACGAAGTAAATGTAAGCAATTAAAAGGCAAATGTACGGTTTTCAACAATGTGAAAAATACACACCAAATATTTGGCTATAAAGGAGACACTTTGTATTTATATTAAATCTGTTTCTGACCCTATAATCATCTTACATCTTTAACTGTTGATTTTGTTTTACCGACACCACATTGAAGAAAAATCTACGTATCAAAAGTTTTAAAACATTTTTATGCCCCACCTACGATAGTAGAGGGGCATTATGTTTTCTGGTCTGTGCGTTCGTTCGTTCGTCCGTCTGTCCCGCTCCAGGTTAAATTTTTTTTGTCAAGGTAGTTTTTGATGAAGTTGAAATTCAATCAACTTGAAACTTAGTACACATGTACCCTATGATATGATCTGTCTAATTTTAATGACAAATTAGAGTTTTGGCCACAATTTTACGGTCCACTAAACATAGAAAATGATAGTGCGAGTGGGGCATCAGTGTACTATGGACACATTCTTGTTTAGATCGTTTTTCGTAAATTTTATATATTTCCTATACAATATTTATGTTCACCTATTTTGAAAGATTTAAATCATATATACTTAAGACTAGACAAAGTGATGCCCCCGCACTCCACTGTGAAGTAAATGTATTATAAAAAAAGTCAATGTGAGACTTTCTTTGAGATATTGTTGTGTATGGGAGACAAATTGATGCCCCACAGATGCAACGTGTTATTTAAAAATAACTATAACATTTAACCGCATACACCCCAAAAAATGACAAAGTAATTTTATCTCCCAAAAGCAAAAATTAATAAAAATTAATCCTGACCACATTCACACCTTCAACATATGTACAAACAGCCATCATAGTGAAAACTGCCTAGCATTAAAACTGTAGGAGGAGTTATCTGGAAACAGTTAACGCTCCTCTTATGCAAGTATATACATCAAAATGGGATGAACGGACGGACGGACGGAAGGACAGACAGACAGACAGGGGTAAAACAATATACCCCAAACTTTCAGTTACAAATATAAGAGATAAAAGGGATTTTTTTCGATATTTAGTTGTTCAACGAGCCAATTGAAAGGTGTATGCGAAATATTTTAAGAAAATCTATGACATAAATTGAGAATGGAAATAGGGAATGTGTCTTTATCACAGCTAGAAAACTTTGGTAGTGTCATTTTTATCTTTCTTGCGTTTATGGCCTTTTATAATCTTATATGGATCATCTGTGTCTCATGGACACATTCCCCATTTATATCTTAATAAGACACTTGTTCGCCACTTGTAGTAAACTGTTACTTGACCTTAATTGCCAATTTCTTACCTGGAACATGGTCTTGGTTGTCACTTGTTCCTGAAACATTTGTGTGAGAAAGATGCGTATAAGAAATTGCTAAGTAAAAAATTATAACGAACAATAAATAAAACTTAAGATGATTTGCGACGTTTAACACACCGTGCAAATCCCGCATCCTTCAAGTGGGCTTCACCTGGCCCCGTAACAAAAATGTATACTAGTTACGCGAAAAAAGACCTTACCCTAAGGTCAGAAACATATAAATGAACCACAATTAAAAAGAACATAAAAGACTAACAGAGGACAGAGGTTCCGGATTTAGGACAGTTGCCAAAAGCTACGGGGTTATAAGTGTTTTGTTTTCCTCTAGCCAATGTCGAACAAACAAATACACACTTACACCGCTGTTCCATGTTAGGGGAGGGTTTAGTTCCTGCTAACATATTTATCCCAGCCACATTGTGTATGGGCCTGTCCAAAGTCAGGAGCCTGTAATTCAGTGGTTGTCGTTTGTTGCTGTGCTACTTTTTTGTTTTTCGTTCATAACTTTCTACATGAATTGGGCCGTTAGTTTTCTGGTTTGTATTGTTTTACATTTGTCATTTCTGGGCCTTTTATAGTTGACTATGCGGTATAGACTATGCTCATTGTTGAAGGCGTTACGCCAACCTATAGTTGTTTATTTCTGTATCATGCTTGTATTAAGTCATAAATGGCTCTATATTGCAACCCTTATATTTTGCGCAGTCATGATGCATTGACTGTATATTTTTTTCAAATTCTTTTTTGTATATACTTAGCAATTAAAACATATTTCTAAGTGCAGAATATTATTTTTTCTCATGGAGAGTCTGCTTTTTATAATTTTATATTAGAAAATATCTCTACATAAAAAGTAGTTTTCTCGATTTGCACCTTGCATGTAATTTAAACTGATTAGAAATAAGGGAAATAAAATAACTGGTTATGGATTCTGGAACTGTGTTACTACTAGAGAAAGAATAAGATTTGTTCAACCCTTGATTAGCCAAATGTTCCAAGAAATGATGTATTTGTAGTTGTTCATAGTATTTTATAAAAATCTAATGGCTAAAGTGTAATAAAAGAGTACGTATAATTCACCTTCATTTCTTTCAACAATCTGTGAAATTGTTTGGCTCTCAAAGCTGTCTGGAACATAATCCAACTGATCCTAAATTAATGAATTAAAAACTTCATAAACTGATTTTGAAATTGTAGTTTCTTAATCTGTATTCAAATAGTATTTTTTTTCATTGTATGGTTACTAAAATAATGCTAAGGGCAGCATAAATCGTTAATGACGAATACTTAGGAGATATCTGTATTGTATTTTAAGCTACGACGGCATCTATTGGTTATTTGATGGTCGCAAATTAAGAGTACGGGTATTTGTCACCATCAAATCACCAATTGATGCCGTCAGAGCTTAAAATACAACATTGTTATCTCCATTCTAATGAAAATGACAGAAAACAACGTCCAATATACATTTAAATTTGTCATACGTCGATTGCACATTCGCGCACGTTTAAATAGCACCAATTGTTGATACCATGAAAATTGGTGACGTTATCCTATGAAAATGAACCTTAAAACATTTTCATAGAAAACTATAAATTCTGCTTATGTGTTGTAAAATTTCACTTTATCTTTCAAACAAGTTGAAGAAGTGTCTGCATTACAGATCAAAACTTGAGTAAACACTTAAACTGAAGTTTCATGCTCCAGTCAAAATATATGACATTTTTGCTCCTGTCCAAATTCAGGAGCCTCTATTAGTCTTGCATGTTTTTCAATATTAGTTTATTTATATGTTTTGGAGTTTAGTGTGACGTACATTTTCACTGAACTAGTACACAATTTTAGTAAGGGGCCAGCTGAGGACCACCTCCTGTTGTGAGATTTTCTTGCTGCGTTGAAAACCCATTGGTGGCCTTCGGCTGTTGTCTGGTTTTTGGTCTTGTTGTTTCTTTGACATATTGCCCATTTCCATTCTCAATTTTGATAATTCTATTTGATGCCAAGACAACTATGACGAAAATTTATCTTGTACCATAAACATTTGAATGAATCGTTTAAGTAGATTCAATGTGATGTAAAACGTTGATCGAGGCACACTTTGTGTGAACCTCAGGAGCTTGCTGAACATGTGTGCTTAGTCAACAATTTAACAGCCATAATGTAATTACAAAAACGATACTAAAATCACTATGTATATAATTCATTTCTTATAAATAATCAAAAAGTCATTTCACTTTTGCTATTACGTTCACAGAACCTTTGTCAGTTGTTACCTAAATCTTTTTGTGCAGTTGTATGTCTGCTTTGAATACAGTTTTTTGTGTCAATTGTTTCTTAAAAATATATAGAAGGTTAATGCCAAGTTCTACCAACCACTCTATTTTGATTTCTTTGAAGATTTTCTGCACTTTCTGTTTCTTCTTCTACTTCATTCTATTTTATGATGAAAGACATAAAGACATATATAGTTTAGCAGCAAGAACTTTTTATCTACAAACCATCTAGATGATGAATTTAAAACTGCTGACAGTATTCAATTTTCCAGCTTTTATATGATCATATTCATACATTTTAGTATAAGCTTTTTGTTTAATTCTATGAAAATTTTGAACTGTTAATTCTTCACATTTGACTTCGATTTAAGGTAGATTCATGGTATACCGCCATCTTGGATTGTACAATCGCCGTACAAAATCGGTCTAGTTATTTGCCCAAATCTGCAAATTTGGAGACAGATTTGCAATTTAATGCTTAGACTGTTTATTTATATAAAGAACACTTGGTGATTTATTGTATAATTCAAAACATTTAAACAAATATCAATTTTTTTTGTTTTTAGAATCATTTTTTTAAATGAGCCATTTCAGGGGAAATAACTCTTTTAGTAAACAATTTATACTGCACTAATAGGGAAATTTTTAATTTTTACTTGTAGCAAGAAAACAAGTTCGGTGACACCATTTTTTCTTTTTATTTTCTTAAAACATATTATGAAACCTATCTTCTCACAATTTATTTCAAAATTCTATCTCATAGAATTTTTCTTATGCACACAAATGTGTTTTTTCATGAACAATCTAACCAAATTTAGGCTATTTTCAACGACTCATAGCTTGAAAAATAGCACGGTGACCCATACTTTTTATTATATTTTTGAAAAAAGCATACTAAAATCTTCATTTTGGCAAATTATAATAAAATTCTGTCTCAAAAAATATATACTTATGATCTACCTTAACGGAATTTACCATGTATTTTTTTTTTAAACGGACGAAGAAGAAAGTACAAATAACAATCTTTCGAATGTTATACATCATGAAATGGCCGTTTGTGCGGTGGCTACATTAAATTCGTTCACTTAAATTCTGTTTGAAGTTTGTCACTCCAATTGAAGACTTCATTGATTGTTGAGTCTTTAAAAAATATACCTAATTCTGGGCGACATAATGAGAATAATCAAAACAAGAAGACAACTTTTGTGTTATCATCCCAGCACAGTTTATCTAATTTTTCTAAGCGTAGATGTTTTCTACTATCTAATACTTAATTATGATTTATATACATGTTATACCTCAAGTGGCATCAAGAAAAGTTTTCTCAGCATTTCAGCCATATCTGGATCTAGGAATGATAGTAAAGAAAATATATACTTATTACATAATTAAAGCAGCAACTTATGTCTGTAACACGGTAAAAAAGTCAAATTTGATCAAATATGCATTGGGATTACCCAGTTGTTTAAACCCATTGCCCCAGCAGTTCTGTATGGCTAGGGATTATAGACTTTGCTCTTATAAATAGCTATTAGGTAGTACTTCATCGAAGGGGCAACGAATTTATGGGATGAACATTCCTAGGGTACGAAAATTACGTCCGTAACATGGAAATAAAGCCAAATTCGATAAAATACGCATTCGGGTCACCCACTTTCCGACCCATTGTTTCGGTAGTTCTCTATGGCTAGGCAGCATAGATGCTGCCCTAATGAATAGCTATTGGATAGTACTAAAAGGTGAGGGTAAAGAATTTCTAGGTTAGCATTCTTAAAGGCCGAAAGTTCCGTCCGTAACGCGGAAAAATAGTCCAATTTTATCAAAGATGCACTGGGGTCACCCACTAGTTTAAACCCATTGCACCGGCAGTTCTGTATGGCTAAGGATTATAGACTCTACTATAATAAATAACTATTGGGTAGTACTACAACGAGGGGAACGATTTTATGGGATAATCATTCATAGAGAACGAAATTTGCGTCCGTAACATGGAAATAAACCAAATTCGACCCATTGTCTCGGTAGTTCTTTATGGCTAGGCATTATAGATGCTGCCCTAATGAATATTTATTGGATAGTACTTCAAGGTTAGAGTAAAAAATTTCTGGGGTAAGCATTGTTAAAGGCCCAAAATTCCGTCCGTTACACAGAAAAAAAGAAAAATCTGATCAAATATACACTTCGGTCACCCACTTGTTCAAACCCATTGCACCGGCAGTTATATATAGCTAGGAATTATAGACTCTGCATGCCCTCATAAATTATATAGCTATTGGGTAGAACTACAATGAGGGGGCAACGAATTTCTGGGGTATGAATGAAAATGTTAATACTTTAACACGTTTAAACCCGCTGCATTTGTTTGCACCTGTCCTAAGTCAGGAATTTGATGCCCAGTAGTTGTCGTTTGTTGATATGGTCCATAAGTGTTTCTCGCTTCTCATTTTTTATATAGATTATAGACCGTTTATTTTCCCTTTTCAGTGGTTTTACACTTGTCATTTTTTGGGCCCTTTATGGCTTGCTGTTCGGTGTGAGCTAAGCTTCTGTGTTGAAGACCGTACTTTGACCTATAATGGTTTACTTTTACAAATTGTTACTAGGATGGAGAGTTATTTTTTTATATTTTATAAAAAAATTTTGGCACTCATACCACATCTTCTTATATCTATTTAGATGATAATCACAAGTTAGTGTTCACATCCTTAAAAATTGAATAACAGATGTTTTGTTCAATTTCTTCAAATATTTAGAACAACCTGGGAACAGTATATCTAACATATATGTTCCTGGATAAACTTCACATTAGTCCGTGCTCACTTTTCATTTTTTTTAAGAAATGGATGCTTGTAACATATTTAATTTGCTCATTCAGTTTAAACATGGAAGTAATATTGTTTGAATATTACTTCCATGGTTTAAATGATGACTTTTTGAGAACGTTGCATGGCGACGTTTCCATAAATTTCCTTTTTAAAGTGAATACTTCATCTGTTGATATATACTGTGAACGTTTTGTGTATATTCATATGCGGACCCAGGGGGTCTAGTCCGCCCCCTGTCGTGGGAACAATTTGGTTGATTATATAGGGAATCACTGAAGCATGACTCGACCTCCCGGCTCCTTTTTAATTAAGACTTGTATGACTTGTATATATGACGGTGCATTACGTTTGCGCTCATTAACATTACATTTGCGAGCAAGAATCATTACGTTTGCGCGCAGCTTTTGATAACATTTGCGCGCATTTATTTGGCTATTTATTAGGTAACTACAGGTAATAGTACTTATTTATTTATTAATTTATTCAATTATTTACTAGTACAAATACCATTTCCGTTAATCTGACTCTGAGTTCCCTACACACCAACGAGGAAGTGGGATTTCAAGCAGAATAAGTCCGTTTTATTATATTCTGTCAAAATGGAAAGTAAATCCATCGTATACTATAAATGATTTTTACCCGGTTTGTAATTTTTTTGCCCCATTTAAAAAACATAACAAAATAGGGCCAATTTTAACCCTTCGTGAACCTTCTCCTTTGTGACGATGACCCTCGGCGACTGAGCTCGGCGATCTTTGATCTTTCAACGTTCACGTCTCCATTAAATCGGAATAGATCTACTCGTGTTCCGTGCGACAATTTCTATTGCATTTTTTTTTAAACATACCCTGAAGACCCTCAATGGTTTCAATGTTTTTCTATTATCTGCTTCAGTGAAGACACCAATGGCTAGATCGTATGTAAATTAGCCACGTGTAAGTGACTTGTTGGACTTCATCTTACTTTTATATCAAAATATACGTTACTTTAGTGTTTTGCAAATCACCTGTTATTGTCTCTCTAAGACTATCAAAAATTCTTCTTTTTTTTGTTTTAAAAATATGTCTTCTTTTAATCTTTATAATATGTCTCGTGAAATAGTTGCAGACGAAAATTATACTCCAAGGTTTTAAAAACGTTTGAATCGACGTGTTCTAAAGAGCTTTTACAAGCGCTTCAATCACCTGATCACTGCACGAGCATTCTGCTTCTGATTCTGCATTTGAAATGTTTCAGTGTAATCCTTGCGAATTTTCAACAGAAAAACAGAGCAATAGGGATCATTCGTAATATTTCTTCCTGTAGACGTCGCTGGTGTTCCATAAGTGGTTGTCGGAAACGTTTTAATCAGTTTGACGCTTGAATCGCATTAAGTTGCACATGCCACAATCGACACTCGCTAATTTCACCAAACTAAGCTCCAAAATTGTTGTGTCCCCGGCTGCAATTATTCTGAAGGGGGACCACATATTCCCAAAAGACCATGAAATTCTTTTAAAATGGAGAGAAGGCATCAAGAGAGTTGATCCACCCATCAAAAATATCTAGGGAAACCCGGCGGAAAATATTCGACCAAGTTTGCCATAACCAGCTGATAACCATGTCATGCCAGGAGATTATATAACAAAAGGATTAGGTTATTATGTATTTATATTTTTCTTATATTTAGTACAGTATTTAACCTCTTTGTTTTATTTTTTCTCGATTAAACAGCCCAATAATTTGACAGGTTATTATTTATTAAAATAGGGGGATGACACAGGGATGTATTTTATTCTTCAAATATACCCTCACACTTTGTAAGTTTTTTCCTAGACTTCACATTTTTTCACCCTTTTACCTTTGTTTGCATTGTAAATAAGAAATAATAATTATGTTGTGCACTTAATTATAGCAAGTGAAATATATTTCCCTGACAAAACAATGCATGAAAGGAAGAGAACTACATGTATTGGGAAATATGACAATCCCTATATTGCATTCTAAAAAAAACCATGGTACATATGAGCATAATTTTTCTATTTGTTTGTCGCAATAAAGTCTGAATTTTCTAAGGACTTTACGTTAAACTTATTGCAAAAGCTGTCAGAACATTTTTTTTTAATTCTTCAAAGTTGGAAATCAAGAGTATTTTTGTTAGAAAAAAACATCACACACATCCCTGCATTAAACGCTTGTCCTTTATGAATGATAAGAAAAATTTCTGAACCTGCAGTTTATTAAATAACATGATGCTTTGTGTTTTCCTGTTTTAATATTTCAGAAGCCATCATGGATAACAGACTTTTTACCCAACCATGAAGTGATGAATGGGATACATCTTTATGTTTGAAATGAATTCATGGTTAAAATCCAAGTGGCTGCAAGTGCGAGGATCAATACTTCTGTCAGAACCAGATGTAAAAAAAAAATTGACAAAGGTGACAACAAATGGCAAATAGTGGAATTATGGAACAGGATTTATTTACTAGCCAAGACAGTTCCTTATATTAACACACAAACTTTTCTGAAAGGGAAATTCCAACTAGATCAGAAGAAAGTAGTTTGTGATAGAAAAGTGTCGTCCAACAAATTCACATTAAAAGAGTCCTTGTATTGTCTAAAAGTTACACAAGGGTAAAACTTAATGCCCCTCCTCCGCTGTGGCAGGGGAATAAACAATCTGAAACATGTAATTCCACGTGGAAACTTCTAATTCAACTTGGTTCCAGAATTATCTGTGTTTGCTGTGTTCTTTCTAATTTCATAAAAATACATTGTAAATAAATATGCATAAAAGATGAAATGGATTTACATGCAATTGATTTTATTATTTGTTCTAATGTGGGGCTGTTTCACCACTGCTTTCCCAGTAAGCACAAAAAAATAGAAAAATGTTGAAAAAATATTGTAGAAAAATATCAAAATCATGCAAAAATGTATGGCGTTAAAAATATTTTCAAAACATTTTCATGATACTTTTAAAACATCATTAAAATGTTACTGAATTTTGACGACAATTTTTGTAAAATGTCTTATAAATGATTTGAATGTGTTTGTTAATCAAATATCCCTGAAACATATTTAAAACATATAAAAATTCATTTCTGCAGGATAAAATGTTTTGAAAAAGTTCAAAAAATATTTTTTAACAAAATGTTTTAATTATCTTCATATTCTCAAAAAATCATTAAAAAATCATTTAAATGTTATTTGAAATATCATTATAAAAATGTTTTCTAACATAATCTTTCAAGTCTTTTTATAAAATATTCAGAAACATATAAACAATGTTTAATATCAGAGACAGATTTAGGAGTTGGGTGCCTGGGTCCCCCCTTTATGGCCCTTATGGAGCTTCATTTATGGTAAATCCAGATTTTTTTATTACTCTCAAAACTTTGTCTAGTTTGGGGCCTGATGACCCCTTTTAATGCCCCCGCAACTGAAAGTTGGGGGCATATTATTTTACCCCTGTCTGTCCTTCTGTCTGTCTGTCCGTTCGTCCCATTATGGGTATATAGTTATTCATCACAACTCCTCCTACAGTTAGAATCCTAGGAAGTTTTCAATTTGCTGTCTGTTTGTACATATATTGAAGATGTGCATGTGGTTATGGTTTTGATTTTTATTGATATTTGCCCTTTTGGGAGATAGTTGAACTTTGTCATTTTTGGGGTATAAGCGGTTAAATGTTATAGTTATTTTAAAATAACACTTTGCATCTACGGGGGCATCAATTGTGTCTCCCAGACACAATAATATCTCAAAGAAAGTCCTACATTGACTTTGTTTTAATACAGTTACTTCAGAGTGGAGTGGGGGGGGTAACTTTATCTAGATTCAAAATCCTGGATCCACATTTGAGAAAACAACTGCCGTCAGAAATGATCTTTACCCCACATCTCCTTTTAAATTTGTCTGCATGCTGTTGATGCCGGCTTAATCTATATATATTTTGTCTATTTTTGTCGGGTTAATGTCTCATTGACAAACCCCAATATTTCCTGTCTTAGATATCAATTTTATTGAATAGTCCATTTTTTTGTATTTTGCACTGAACACATGAAAAAGAAGATGTGGTATGATTGCCAATGAGACAACTCTCCACAAGAGACCAAATGACACAGAAATAATTACAACCATAGGTCACCGTACAGCCTTCAACAATGAGCAAAGCCCATACCACATAATTTGTTTCACTTACATAGAGGTATTAATTTTTATACGACCGCACAAAATTTGTTTGGGATCGTACAATGGTATGATGTCGTCGTCGTCCGAAGACACATTGCAATTGGTTTCCGGACAATAACTTTAGTTAAAGTGAATGGAACTTTATGAAATTTTTTAAGAAGATTTAATAGCACTAAAGGAAGGTTGGGATTGATTTTGGGGATGATGGTCCCAACCGTTTAGGAATTTGGGGCCCAAAACAAGCATTTTTCTAGTTTCAGGATAATAACTTGTGTATAAGTATATCGACTGCTCTGAAATTGTACCACATTTTAGGGGTTATAGGGCCAACAGTTTAGGAATTAAGGGCCAAAAAGGGGCCAAAAACAAGCATTTTTCTAGTTTCCAGACAATAACTTGTGTGTAAGTATGGATCTCTCTGACATTGTACCACAAGGTTCCATATAACAAAGGGAAGGCTGGGATTGAGTTTGGGGTTAATTGCCCCAAACATGTAGGAATTAGGGGCTAAAAACAAGCATTTTTCTAGTTTCCAGACAATAACTTGTGTGTAAGTGTATGGATCTCTCTGAAATTGTACTACAAGGTTCCATACTACAAAGGAAAGGCTGGGATTGAGTTTTGGGGTTATTGCTCCAAGGGGGGGGGGGGGGGTTCAAAAAGTTGGGGTGGGGGGAATTTTTTTCACAATTTTTTTTAAGGGATTCATATTTTTTTTCAAAATTTTTAAAATTTCGAATTTTTGAAAAGTTTCAAGAAGAAATCTTCAATTGCACAGTATTGCGCAATGGATTTATAAGATCTTTGACCACATTTATTTTGTGTCAGAAACCTATATTATGTCAAAAATTTGATTACGATCCAAATTCAGACAGTATCAAGCTTGAATATTGTGTCCAAATTTGCCCCAACTGTATAGGGTACGACCTATGCGGTCGTATCAGGCTGCACTCAGCAAAGTATTTTATTTCAGATTATAAATATCCTCATGCATTTCATTTGGTCCAGCATTGAACAAATTTTTTCTTAGAAGTGTTTTTTTATCTTTTGTTTGATCATGTGTAGCATCTGTCATTTTCTGTCTGAACAGCTTTTCGATGGTTTTCTTTGCTGTCTTGGTCAACAATACACAAGATAACAACAATAAGAAATGCAAAATTTTTATTTAATTTTGTCATTTCACTGTTCTTTTTCAATTTTTCTTTTGTTCCATTCTTTTTATTTCTCTTGACTTCTGCTGGCTTCTGTAAAGAAAATGTTAACAGATTAGTCCTGTTGTTTAGTGAGTAAACTAGTGGAGATAATTTAAATTTCATCAAATTACACAAGAAAATTTTATTTTAATCCAGTCTGGTTTCATAAAAATTTATATTGAAAAGCGATATCTAATCAGTGTGGCTGGATTCGGAAGGTATACACGTACATCTGTGGAGTTTCAGGTGTATTATTATCATACGAGTCTGTAACGGTAGAGTTCACCAGTACTAAAATAAAACTGTACAGTACCATTTTCCCAACTGAGATTAGGACCTGTAACCTTTACTTGGTCTTACAAAAAATCAACTCCTTAATGGTAATTGTATATTTTAACACACATACATTTTTATACGACCGCAAAAAATTTTTGTGGTCGTATATTGGTATGACGTTGGCGTCGTCGTCGTCCGAAGACACATTGGTTTTCGCACTCTAACTTTAGTTAAAGTGAATTTTACCATAAGGTTCAATACCACAAAAGGAAGGTGGGGATTGATTTTGGGGGTTATGGTACCAACAGTTAAGGAATTAGGGGCCAAAAAGGGGCCAAAAATAAGCATTTTCTAGTTTTCAGACAATAACTGTGGAACGGTGTATGGATCTCTCTGAAATTATACTACAAGTTTCCATACCACAAAGGGATGGTAAGAATTTGCTTTGGGGGGTTATGGCTCAAACCGTTTAGGAATTAGGGGCAAAAAATGGGGAAAAACAAGGTTGTCCTGGTTAATGGACAAATACTTTAGTACAAAACATAATTTAAAGCAGTGTAAGGGAGATAAATCAAATACATTATTGAAATTATCTCCCTTACACTGCTTTTAAATTATGTATAAAGTAATGGTTAATGAACAATTAAGATACATGTAATTTAAAACAGTGTAAGGGAGGTAATCCAAATACAACGTTTTGGTTACTTCCCTTACACTGCTTTTAAATTATGTTTAAAGAAATGCATATTTATAAAGGAAGACCAGTAAAAATATCTGCAAATGTTGCATCTTTTTTTTTTACAAAAAAAATCCATATGAAAGATTTGGCACTATATTTTAAATTCTATTATAAAATAGATTTAGTTAGCACTATGGTAAATTTAAATGGGTAGTTATGGTTGCAAACTCCATTGGAAATTTGAATTGAGATTATGACCATATCTTGAGGGAAAGAATTTTTTGGGGGAAAAAGGGGGGGGGGGGGGTAAAAAGAAATTGTGGGGGGTCAATTTTTTCTCATTTCAGATTTCAGAAATTAAAAAGAATTATTCTTCAAATATTATTTTTTTTTCAAATTTCAAATATTGAAAAATTTCAAGAAGTAATCTTTAATTGCACAGTATGGCGCATTAGATTTGTAAAATCTTTGACCACATTTATTTATTTGTTATGCCGAATCTAACCGTGTATTTAGATTTTGAATTTTGGGTCCAGTTTTCAAATTGGTCTACATTAAGGTCAAAAGGGTCCAAAATTAAACTTTGTTTGATTTTAACAAAAATTAAATATATGGGGTTCTTTGATATGCCGAATCTAAACATGTATTTAGATTTTTGATTTTTGGCCCAGTTTTCAAGTTGGTCCAAATTGGGGTCCAAAATTAAACTTTGTTTGATTTCAACAAAAATTAAATATATGGGGTTCTTTGATATGCTGAATCTAACCATGTATTTAGATTTTTTAATTGTGGACCCCGCTATCAAATTGGTTCATGAGGTCAAAAGGGTCCAAAATTAAACTTCGTTTGATTTCATCAAAAATTGAATTATTTGGGGTTCTTTGATATGCCAAATCTAACCATGTATTTAGATTTTTAATTTTGGGTCCTGTTTTTTAAATTGGTCTACATTAAGGTCCAAAGGGTCCAAAATTAAACTTAGTTTGATTTTAACAAAAATTGAATTCTTGGGGTTCTTTGATATGCTAAATCTAAACATGTGTTTAGATTTTTAATTATGGGCCCAGTTTTCAAGTTGGTCCAAGTTGGGGTCCAAAATTAAACTTTGTTTGATTTCAACAAAAATTGAATATATGGGGTTCTTTGATATGCTGAATCTAAACATGTATTTAGATTTTAAATTTTTGGCCCAGTTTTCAAGTTGGTCCAAATTGGGGTCCAAAATTAAACTTTTTATTATTTCAACAAAAATTGAATATATGGGGTTCTTTGATATGCCGAATCTAACCATGTATTTAGATTTTTTATTTGTGGGCCCCGCTATCAAATTGGTTCATATTGAGGTCAAAAGGGTCCAAAATTAAACTTTGTTTGATTTCATCAAAAATTGAATTATTGATTGATTGATTGATTGTTGGTTGCTTAACGTCCAGTGGCAAATATTTCATGCATATTCAGGACGAGAACAAGTTCACAATAAATACAATAGGTAGGTTCTGTAATAGATTAAGGGATTGAGGTCGGAGAAATTTAGACTGCCACGGGAAATGAGGGTATATTGGATAGGGACAGAAATTTAGCCTTGCAACAGGTCACCTACGGACCCCTCAAAGAGTTGTTGCAAGGGTTCTTAACGTGCGAAGAGCGTGGCACTCTCTTTACACGAGGCATCGGATTTAACGTCCCCATTCTGACCGGAAGTGGCTGCAAATTTGTACATCCCGCACAGCCAAACGGACGCCCCACTTTAGCAAGGGTTTTACTGCCGGTCGGAGGAAGACTAATGGTGACCATACTTCTATTCCCCAGTCACCCTTGGGGGCAATTGAATTATTGGGGTTCTTTGATATTCCAAATCTAACCCTGTATTTAGATTTTTAATTTTGGGTCCCGTTTTTTAAATTGGTCTACATTAAGGTCCAAAGGGTCCAAAATTAAACTTAGTTTGATTTTAACAAAAATTGAATTCTTGGGGTTCTTTGATATGCTGAATCTAAACATGTGTTTAGATTTTTGATTATGGGCCCAGTTTTCAAGTTTGTCCAAGTTGGGGTCCAAAATTAAACTTTGTTTGATTTCAACAAAAATTGAATATATGGGGTTCTTTGATATGCTGAATCTAACCATGTATTTTGATTTTGGACATTGGACCATAATAGGTAAATTAAAAAAATTCAAGTTCTTAGACCACATTCTTTCTGTGTCAGAAATCTATGCTGAGTCAAATATTTAATCACAATCCAAATTCAGAGCTGTATCAAGCTTGAATGTTGTGTCCATACTTGCCCCAACTGTTCAGGGTTCGACCTCTGCGGTCGTATCAAGCTGCGCCCAGCGAAGCATTTTATTGTGATATAGATTGAGGCTATAAAAGGATAAATACCTTCACACAATCTGCTCCTCCAGAATGTTTTGAATCTAAGCTTATAAATTTTGGCTCTTCTAATTGATTCTACAAAAGATAAAAAAAAAGTCAAAATATTAAATAAAATACAGTCAAGAAAAAATCACATAGTACTAGTCAGCCACAAAGGTCACAACATTCAAAAATGAAAGAAAATTCAAACAAGAAAACTAATGGCTTGATTTTAAATTATAAAATAAGACAATAAAAAAACAAATATATATGTATATATATCAGAAATTAACCAACTATAACTAATAAATTAAAGGCTCCTGACTAGGATTGACACATTAACAATTATCTATCCTACAAAAAATATATCTGGCCTGGCCTTGAAGGGCTAGCGATTAATCACAGGCACTTGTCTCAGAAAATTTTTTCCTATAACACGTGTTATATTAAGGTATATAGGAAGTTGTTTTTTGAGACAAGTGCCTGTGCGATTAATCATGAAAACTATATAATGAATATATTGTCTTTCATGGTTACAAATACCTACCAGTAGAAAATGTCTGCAATATTTCACTATTTTATATTACTTTACTAACTAATACATTGTTGATGACGCTGAAAACAGCATACCTAATATATGCTATGTCTTGCTTTTGGACTCTGTCAAGGCAAGACAAAAAGGAAAGAAATCAATGATTCAAGTTCAAATATATTGATTGATTGTTGGAATCTTAATGTCCAGTGACAAATATTTAATGCATGTTCCAGCCAAAGTTTAATTAAACAAGCTAAGGAATGGTTTGAATTTTTTTAAAACATGTAGGTAAAGATTTTTTATTAAAGTACTATTACATAGATTAAATTCTGCTTGCCATGAAATATTTGAAAAACAAGATATCATGTGGATTTAATGGTATAACTAATGAAATTTTGAAAAATTCTTGTATGCTGAATGTTGGGCATGATATGTATATAAAATTATAAAACATTACTTTTTTCTTAAAAATTAATAAAATTTTCTCTCTAGCAAGAAGTTCTTATTGGAGAGAAAATTTATTTAACCCATATTCAAAGGAAGATGTTTTAATAGCCCTTCAAACAACAGAGGTATAACCCTTTTTACTAGTTTAGGAACATTTTTTTCTAGAGTATAATAGTTTAGAAAACTATTTAGAATCTTATAAGATTATCTGCCAAGAACAGATAGGATTCAAAAAGGACGTAGAATACATGTATAGGGACCACATTTCTAAGTTTAAAAAATATTTAGTTGGGTTAGTTTTCATAATTATGTTCTAATCAATTTTGCAGAATTTGAAATTATTCCATATATAAATAATTCCTTGTTTGAACATGAATTGCAAATAAAACTTCATTATAGATGTACATATCTTTTAAAATTTCCAAAAATGGCCCCATCATGTTATATATAAAAAGTTTGCAGAGAAGGGCCTTTATATTTTTTTTACAGTGTCTTTTTTTTTAAGTTGATGAAGCTGAGACATATTAAAAGATTTAAAGCTTAAAAATGTAGAATCATGTCTTGTTTAAAAGTGGTATTGGGAGGATTTAATACTTTCCTTGTGTAATTGTCCCATTTTCAAAAGTAATAAATTGTTTATATATAACTGGGCCTCATAGACTATTAGTATAATAGTCCCAGTATATAACAAGTTAAATTTAATTTTCCCTTGCCCAGTCTGCATGGTCTGTACCACATTTCATGGCCAACAGATAATATCTGTATAGAACCCCTATTTTTAATTATTATTATACAAAATCATTTAAATGTATCCTAGAAAGTTTAACTATATATTCATGACTATTGATATGTCCAGTGGGGTTTTTATTTTGCTTTTTTCTAACTTGGGGTACATGTATTAATAATTTTGTCACTTGGTATTTCTCACTAAATATTTCATATAAAATTGCATTTCAAAAGATTATTTAGGGGACATTTCTGATTTGATTTTATGCAACTTGGTACCAACAGCAGAATAATTATTTGTTTATTTTCATTTTCTTCTGAGATAAACATAAATATTATTGTCTATTATAAACAATCTTGCTATATATGTCATATATTTATATTTCAACCAAATTAAATTGTAAAAAAATAGTATATGTGTTCACATCAGGAGAAAATAAAAACAACAGACATTGACAGATGACAAAGCTATGACAAAACAAACAAATACTCTTTATATACAATTCAGCGTTTTTCAACACATTATTTGTAAAAATACAACCATAAATGCCTCCAATAAACGTCTTTTTATATGAAATATATAGCCCAAAAATGTAGGTGACGAAAGCTTTTTGGCAATGTACTGTAGCGGCGTTTCCGCTTATAATAGAAGAAATCTCAATATTTTTTAAGAACATCGTTTACCTTTCTATAAGATCTATATTTCTGTCTCTTGTGTCATCTCCACGTAACGTTAGTTCTGGAACAGACCAGGTATTGTAATCATCAGATGCCATTGTTTACGTTGTAAATACAGATGCAAGCGTTTTACGTGATTGAAGCGTTCAAGTAACCACTTATGGAACCGCAGCGCCGCCACGCGTGAAAAGTCGTGAATGATTCCTATTACTGCAAACATCTAGAAACAAAAAAGCATAAAGATGTAATAGGTTTATTGCAGTTTTGTGAAGAAGAACAAAGTACAGAGACAAATGATGTGTGGCAAGAGAACTTCAACATTGACAGTGACAGTGCAACTAAACAGGAACTCGATGACTCAGAGATTTTTACAGACGACTACTTCCCTTTCGCCAACAGGCTAGAGCTACTGCTCTACGTGTTACGTGGATCAAAATATCACTGTATAGTAAGCGCTTTTATAATCATATATATTGCAATCTTCAATCTTGCAATCATGGTTTCCGGTCAAGCAAATTAGTATCAATCCCGGGGGGGTTACTGACTATCCTTTCGGCTATAACTGTGCCGACAGCACTTGCCAAATCATACCCTGTTCCTGAGACTACTATAACACACTGTGTTATAGTAGTCTCCGCCTGTTCTAACTAGAAAACATTGAAAAATATACCCTGTTCTAAACAGATATATTGAAAAACATACCCTGTTCTAGACACGCCCAAGAAAATGACTCTGTTCTAACCAGCAGGACATGAAAAGAAACCCTGTTCTAACCAGCAGGGCATTAAAAAGCGACCCTGTTTTGCGGCACACTCGTACCACTAAAAATATAGGATTTAACCCCCCCCCGGGGTATCAATTTCCAAAAATACACTTTATATGGATGCATAAAAATATGAAAAAATCTTGCACTGAAGTTTCTTTATGATATATAAATGCATTTCAAGAATTGGATAAATATTATTTTTCACCAGTAATTCGTTTCATATGACTTTAAGAAGATGTGGTATGATTGCCAATGAGACTATGAACTCATCCTGATAGTGATAATTAAATGACAACAACTACTTGTCTAAGCACAACCTTCAACTATGAGTAAAACTAATGCATCAAAGTAAGCTATATCATGATAGAAGGCCCAGAAATGACAAATAATAAACAATAGAAAAAAGAAAATTAATGGCCTGATTTAATTTATACTGTACAAAATATTAAAAATGAAAAACAAATATGATGTATAATTTAACAGCCAAAAAAGATGACCACTAAAATTGTGAACTACATGCATGCAGACTTCCACATACATGAAGTTGCTGGTTAACCAAACCCTTCGCCAAACCTGGAACAATGGTGTACATTGCAAAACTTTCTATTTTTAGGATCAAGAACTTTTTAAGTTTATTTTACACATAATCAGAGTAGGAGTTGAAGACAATATAAAGAGTATTCCTCCATTCCATAAGATATGGAATCTTGACATTGAAGGATTAGAACTTAAACCATCAGTGGTAAGATACATGTAATCTAGCTGTTTTGACAAATTTGCTATTTTTAGAATACTTTTAATTGAAAATGGATAGTAATGAAATTTTCCCTACAAATGTATGTATGTTATAATGTACAATGTATTACTTATTTAAAAAAAAATTGCCATGATTTTACCACTACAAATTTTAGATGAACATCGAAAAGTCAGAAAGAGAAAATTCCATAGCACAATCACAAATTGCTAATATGACCATGCAAAATTTTCAACAAAAAACCAGAAAATTATGATACTAAGAATTTCAGAGAACTTTTCAATATCTTACAAAGCTGTAAGATAAATATAATTATGCCATATTTGTCATTTTTTTTGGTTTATTGCTTTGTGCATGAATTGTGCAGTTAGTTTCCTTGTTTGAATTATAATAATGGATAGATTATAAAATGATAGGGTTTGGAAATTAATATAGGGACCAGGAGAGGCAATTTATATTATTATACCTTACATATATTACAAACAATTCTATTGGGTAACACCTTATCACGTGACATGGAATAATTCAGTTAATTTTCATTTAATTGCAAGGGGGGACGAATAACCCTTAAAATTTACACCAGCAATGAATGACCCTATCATTCACCGGCGAATAACCTTTTGAGTGTCTAGATTTGCACTTGAGTTATCTCCCATGAAAATGACGTCACAGACGTAAATAAACAAAATGGCATCGTTCACGTTACACTGACAGCCTATCGAGAGACGAGGAAATAAGGCTTTGGACATGAATAGAGTGCCAGCAGCCAATGATATCTCTTATAAACGGTCCTTTTCAGGGCCATCAATATTTTACAAAAAGATTCTACCTTTGTTGTACATTCGAGAAATTCCAGAACACAAATGTATTTTCAAACCTCAGCTTGTGTTTGTTATGTAAAGAAGATAGTAAGTGTTCTAAATGCCCTTCCACTGTTAGTTCGGTATATCATAAAACAATTGTGGCCCTTAGAATCCATGAATATCCAAAATTGTCAACCCTTAAAAGTTATTTCACTTTGGGCTGCGCCCTCATTGAAATAACCTTCTTGTGTTGACAATTTTGGATATTCACCTTTTCAACGGGCCATAATTGTATATTGTTTAAAGACAAACTTTAATGTTATTTCTTTCAGTCTTCTAATAAGGGTTTGGAAATTAATATAGGGACCAGGAGAGGCAATTTATATTGATTAAAGACAAACTTTAATGTTTTTCTTTCAGTCTTCTAATAAAGATACCGACAAAGACATCTTTTACATAAAGCCATCTAGTATAATTGAAATGCAGCTTTCAAAGAAAAACACAGCAATACAGTTACAAAGGTAGTTCATAATGTTATTTTTCTATTATTCTTTATACCAGCCTACCACTTAATTGTTTCATCAGCTTTAAGTTATTTAAGTGTTATCTTAAGTCTAAAAGAGAGGTGAAAGATACCAAAGGGACATTCAAACTCATGAGTCAAAGATAATGGCTATAATAGAAAAATACTCAACAGTCACAAACAATTTAATGGTTCTTTGAAATTTTTTATTTATTTATAGAAAAGAAAGTTAAGAATTTTAAAAATATTGAAATATGTACAGATTTTCTTTACATTTATCAAGATTTAGTTGGGCAAAGCTTGAAATGAAATACTGGTAAACTACCATGTAATATACTATTTCAAGTCTTGATATTTAGATGTATCATAAGCAGGGGTCAAAATTGGCGCTGGTCTGGTGGACCGAGACCAGTAGAATTTGCGTTGGACCAGTAGATTTTGTCAGCTGGTGGTCCGGCGGACCAGTAGACATTTGTCGATAAAACTCCGATTGCATCCCAAAATCGGTTTGTTTGCAAACAATTTTACCTGCAAAATCAATTACACTGTACTGGCGGTACTAAGTATTACAATTGATCAAGTTAATTAATATCGTGAGCGTCCTTCACAACAACACAAAATGTGGAAATTTTTGGAAGGACATCTCGACAAAAAAAATAAAAAAGTGTCTTTCAAGAGGAAGATTGGAATAAAGTTTAAGAAATTGACAAAAGGAAAGGTTAATATAAAAAATCCTTGGAAAAAGATCGTGAATTGTTAAATTATATAGTCGATCGCAATGTAGTGAATTAAATAACAAGTGAAAAATTTGTCCCAGCTATTCAAATGTGGCATTTCTGGGCAGCGCTCCAGACAACCCAGTCAGGCGCCCTATGGTCGTCGTGAGGATTGTGATGATATGGAAGACAATGTTGACATTTTTTCTGTTCTTGATACTGATTTTGATAAAGAAAATCATTGAGATTATCAAAGCCATTATCAAAATCAGGATGGAGATTCTCTCTTTTTCTTGTCTAACATATGTAAAAGAAAGCATGAAAATAAAAGTAAATATCTATCATTTATATTAGTGTTTGTCAAATTAATGTCATTTTTGCAGGACCAGTAGATTTGCACCCGGACCAGTAGATTATTCAGTCCACTGGTCCGGCTGGCCAGTATACATAAAAGCTTAAATTCGACCCCTGATCATAAGCCAAAGATCAAGACTTAGTGACTACCATGTACTTCATCAATAATTAAAACATCCTATACCCAATGCTGAAGCCCAAATTTGGGTTATATCATCAGGTCACATGTTTACCGTATCATGTCAAAAAGTTTACCGTATCATGTCAAAATGTTTACCGTAACATGTCAAAATGTTAACTGTAACATGTACATTAGCTTAATAAAGATTAGGTACTGTAACATGTGTAACAATTGAACATCCCATCGGGATTTTTCACTGACAGGATAATTGAACCTGTTTAGATATCAACAAGATTCATATTTATCAACCTGATATATATCTGATCTACCTGATAACTGTACCGCCAATTAACGGAACAGCCTGTTTACTGAACAGCTCAGGTTAACTCTGAACCACCGGTTATCACAGTTACTGTATCTTTATTAAAAGGGTGCAAACATTAATCTTCCATTCCTCCTCTGATGATGGCCCCTTTATAATAACATTTTTTTTCTTTCAAAAATAGATTTCCCAGACAAAGCAACTTTTTTGAAGGTCAAAGTAGTGGAAGCAAGTGGAAGACTGAAATAAAGTCTTTGATGGCAAAAAATTCATCTTCAGAAAGAATATATATTGGTGACAACGTTCAGAATGGCACAAATGGAGAGTGTGGAACTGTTGTTCAGTTTTATTCCCAGGTAATAATGTAGATTTAATGAAGAAATGTTATTTCCACTTCTGAGAGACCAAATGACACAGGAATAAGGTTATTTTAAGTCAATAAAGTACAGCTACTCTGACATGTTGTACGTTGTATAATTGAATTAAAATGTTATCATTGCATGTTAAGTGTAACAATTCTGAATATATATGAACGAAAGTTGTGGATCTTGCCTTAAACAAGTAACACATTTTAAATTTAAACACATTATGTAAGAAAACCTTTGTTCACACATGTATCTAATATTTTTATAACTGTATATGACTTCTTTAGCTCAGATTCAGTCATCTGTTTAGACATGGCAACTACATCCTATATTGTCATTGACACTTATTATTATGTTTTTTAGGAATTTGAAAATACACATCAAGTATATGCATCTGTAAAGTGTGAAAGGTTGGTATAAACACTACAAATGTAAAGAGAAATAAAATAATGAACTGGTATACATTCATTTTGTGTACATTATAAAAGTTGAGGACAGCAATTGAACATCATTAAATGCTGTTTTTTCTTCAAGCAAATAGCAGTTGGGTTAATGGACAACAGTATGGCCTCAGAATTTTGTCACCACATGGGTGCTGCAGCTAAAGAAAACTGTAGATTTTGCAGGGTAAGACAATTAATGATAAATATTATCACTGATAAATAGTATCTGAGTCAACAATAGTCTCAGGTTTCCTTTTTTCCATTGCTGTGTAATATTATAAAGGTTTATTGACATATGATAAATTGTTTTCTTTTTTTCTTCTGTTGAAATAAGCTAGGTCTACAGGACACAGTTTTAAATCTATGACTTATACAATATGAAATTCATGTCAATAGCTATAAACAGTTCCCAAAAGTTCATGAACACTGCTTAAAGCTCTTTTGGGTTACTTGTCCAAAAACTAAAATCCTCTTTTAGCTCTCATGGCCATCACTTGGTAATTTCTGCCATCGTTCTTAAACTTTCACAAAATTCTTCTATGAAACTATTTAGCCAAATTGAACTTATCTTGGCAATAATCATTATTAGGGTGTCTTGTTTTAAGATATGTGTCTGATGACCCCCACCTGCCAACCAACATGTCCTACATGGCTGAAAATAGAACATAAGGGTAAAAAGCAAGTTTTGTTTATTATTTTGAAGCTGTTATAAATATTTAAAATCTGAAAGGGGCAAAAATGTTCAGAATGTTTAGCTCTACCAATTGTAAATATACGTCAAAACTTTTCTTGATATTTCACAAAATAGCACTGAAACTGACTGATTTGCATTAACAACCTGTTTAAATATTTATTATCTCCCCTTGAATTTGATCATTATCATTTCTTGCTGATAGAAATGACATTGCATTTAAGGAATAAAAGTACTGTAGTTGAAAAGTTGCCACCGTCAATTGTCCATTTGACGGTCGCAAATGTAGTTTTACTGGTGACGCTTAGCGGAGACAGTAAAACGGAGATTTGCGGCCTTCAAATCAAAATTAACGGTGGCAACTCTTTAACTACAGTACTGTTATTCAGATTCTAATACATTACAAAAAGAAATAATACGATAAAGCTTGAAAAAATGTATAAATTTGACATACAAAATAAATTCTGCGAAACTTAGTGAATGATTTTGGCTCGAAGACGTCATGGCTAAACGTGACGTCATACAAATGAAAACTTACAAACTGGACGTTATTACGTTACCTCTGCGATTCAAATTCGGATAAAATTACATTAAAACGGTGAATTCGAGGTAGGTGTTGTTTTATTTTCGATGATATTAGTAATTGAACATTTATTGATTCAATCAATTCAAAATGGCGGGTCCCTCCTTAGTTACGCCTGGTCAACTGTGGATTTGATGGTAACTTTTAGCCAATGAAAAAAATTGTTACATAAAAATTGCATTAGAATTGTCTGCATTAAACTTTATGAGCCATCAATGTTCCCAGTCTGCTAATTTATTCAGGTCCTATATTTTATGGTCTTGAATTGGATCACATTTTTTTTTTACAAAAACCCAATGACTAAAAATTAATCATATATATTTTATCTTGTTCCTTTTTTTGTCAGTATCGAAATAACCACTTACTTATTGGAGAATTAAGAACAAAAAATAAAACTGAGGAAATTCTAAAAGAGATTGAAAATAGTACAGAAACATCAACAATGACTGGGATAAAAAAGAAAATATTGGCTGAAGAAATGAACAAAGCTGCTCATTGGGATCCACACAGGTATGCATGACTTTATTATATATTATTATATATGGTGTGAAAGCATTATTAGAATTACAATATATAATCATTTTATAGTTATATATACAAGAAGCAAAAACAATTACATGCACTGAAAATTGAAACTTAGCTTTGGACATGCACACTTCATATATATTGTGAGGCCCACACATACACAGGAATGTTGAGAATGCTGAGCTCTGCCAATTGTTTACATTACAAAAAATCTGAACTTTTTTTTTCAAATAATCACTGAACCATGAAAGTGAGGTTAAGGACAATGGACGTATGACAGGCAAAAGCTTATGAACATGAGGCATAAACAAAGTATGAAACATGCATGTCTTCCAACTTCTTAGATCATAAAGCTTTTAAAAAGTTAGTTGGCATTGCCGCCGCTGGATCACTATCCCTATGTCTAACTTTCTGAGACAGAAGTTGTGGATTACGGTAATGTTTACAATAAATCATAAGGTACAGGTGCAGGGTAGTTAATTTAAGAACCATATATATTTGTATTCTGTAAATTTGTTACACCTAAATCAAGATTCATTATTGATTTAATCAATAATTTATAATAAAACTGCAATAAAAATATTCTTACAATAGGTATCACATATGATATCAAGAAATCCACAGTTTTACTAAAGCTAAACAACCAGCTGCACTGTTTAATTATTGTTTTCTTTTTAATTATAATTTCAGGGACATTCCTCCAGATATGCTTCATTGCATATACTTAGGAGAAGTTGCAATCCTATTAAAATGTATGCTAGGCAACTGTACTGACCAGCAGAAGGTAATTGTGACTTGATATCTTTTGTTTTAATGCTAATCATTCTTTTAAATACTATAAAATTTATTTATGTAATAGTCTAGCTGATTTATTTCTTTTGGATGCCTACAATATAATTTTTTTTTCACAGGTCTATGTTCTAAGTAAAATTAATTAGTGTGATTCAAATTCTTAATCCTAATCTCAACACCAAGCTATGGTATCTATTGGTGCATTATAACCACAATTTTTTGAAGCATCAAATGTTTATTATTTCTATTGGGTCAAACACATAATGGCACATAATGTTGTTAAATTCTTTCATATGGAAAACATGTTATTATACTGACACATCTGCAACTTACATTTATGAAAGCAAGTTATAAATTATAAATGTAAAAATTAACTCAATTTTAATGATTATTGATCATAAGTTAATGTGTATATATAGGCTTTACTCATTATTGAAGGCCGTACAGTGACCTAATAGTTGTTTATTTTTGTGTCATTTGGTCTCTTGCGTAGAGTTGTCTCATTGGCAATCATACCACATCTTCTTTTTTATATTTATTAATTATTATTTACTGAACATACATTGAAATCAAATTGACATATACTATTGTCCATTAAAGAAACAAATTATGAAATATGAAATACATATTTGAACTTAACCATTGAGACTTTTGTACTGAGCTATGCAAATGTTAGAATAAGTTCAATACCGTTTTAGAATCTAATGCATTCTGGGTAATATTTACAATAGCGTACACCAAAACGTTGTGATTGGTTTAAAACGTGATAAACAATAGAAATGCAACCAATGACGTGACTTTATTTTCATTTTGGTGGTGTACGAACAATGAGATTACCCATAGTCCTTTAGATTCTGATTAGGCGAATTTACAATATGTATTCCCTTTACTTTTAATGGATCCTGAGTAATTGTCTCTATTATTGGAAAATTGTAGAATACAGTTGTGAATTCCAGCTGATAAAAAGCCAGCTTATCTTTATGAAATGTTTATACATTGTATTTAAATTTATGAAGTGTTTTGTATCACAGCACACTTTAAGATCAATCTTTGGTAAAACATTTTTGGTAAAGATTGCATAATCAAAACCATTTTGTTGCTGGCTAAGGATAGTTGAAGATAATTCTGGTTCTTTTAATACTTCTGGTTCTTTCTTACAGGAAAATTTACAGCTAACGTTAAATGCAGCTGACTGGAAGGGCTTTCATCACAAATGTGGAGAAAACTTTGTGAAATATCACAAATCAAGCCAAGGGAAAGACTTCAGGTCATTTGTAAGTGCCAACTCATTAAATTGCTGAATCCATTAAAGAATTATATGTTTTATATAGAAATCTGGAATCAGTTGTGGATTGGTGATTTCAATTGAGTGTTACTTATTACTTAGCAATGCATGGGAAATTGCAGTTGAATCCAGAAACAGACCATGTAAACTATTGTGACTGTCATAATCATCACTTTGCATCTATCCATGAAACCTATGGCAAATAACATCTTACACATTTGGAACTGTATCATAGTAACAATTAATGTACGTTGAGGTTCCAATTAGGGTTAAAAAAAACCATCTGATATACCCTTGCTTTTTCCAGTTTTCCAGAATATATACTGTTATTGCTATTTTACGAATTTTCCTTTGATCTTGTTGACTGATAATTTCCTTTCTCAGCGGAGTCGTCAGTGATATGAAAATAGAGTTGAGTGATGAAAATTATCGCTAGAAATTAAGGGAACATGTGCTGTTGTCCAGGAAATTAACAACATCTTCATAGGCTAAATAGCGATAAAGAGATTATCATTGGTCATCTCAACTCAATTGCTTATCTTACTTTCCCCGTCCAGCTGAAGCAAGAAAATCAATCTCTTGAGATGATCAACGATAATCTATAAATATCTTTTGTTTTTAATCCAATGATTAAACTATATAGACATATTGTAATCTGTAACTATTTTAACTAATCGATCAACAAGTAAAATAGTGTTACCATATGCAGTATTTGTTTGAAATAATAAAAATACTGCATAAATGTATATTTAATATAGAGCATAGAGCATTTTTATTTCTAAATCTAGGTACAACTTGCACCCTTTACAGTTCATCATGCAGGATTTAGTAAAGAAATAGTAAAACTTTGGTGTCTATTGTCTGAGGTAGGTAAAACTAACAGGTTCAACTATCTTACAAGTATCATAACTATTTTGATAAATTGTTTTATATTACATAAGCAAAAGGAAGCATTCTTAGGAAAATATTCTCATTTATACTGCAACTAGTTGTGTTTATTTCTTAAATAAAGTAACACAGCTATAGTTTGTGGCCCGAGAACACAGTTATTTCGTAGTGCATTTCTTTTAGACAATAAATTCAAATTAAAAAAATCGCACCTGCTCTATCTTAAAAAGATTTTTACAGTGTAGTGTACTACTATTGATACAAATAATATCAAAATTATAGGAACTTCTACCAGCTCTAACTCAAAATATTGACAATTCTGTGTTAAGGGGGGCTAAAATTCAGTTTGACAGCTTCAGACATTCTAATTTTTGACCTTTTTTAACTGGATCAAATCACTACTTATCCATAAAGATTCAGCACCTAAATTTTTTTAACATGTAATTTCATCCCCTTACTTAATATTTCATGCATAAAATATCAAGAAATAAATTTGGAAAGTGTATCAAAAAAAAAAGCAAGTTATACACTGTTCACACTAGGGACTATATTTGTAGACAACGAAAACCAAAGGACGATAACTGTGTCCTTGGACCTAATAGGATAGAAAGACTTGACCAATCTTAATTAGTACAAAAGAACAGCCAGTAGTCATTGGATATTGTAGATCATTCAGGTAGTCTTGACCTATTCATTTGTACTGAAAAAAACAGACACATATACAAATATCAATTATATACTTACGAGACATGTTGCAATGTTAAACTTATTACGGTATGTGAAAATCAAGACTTGCATAAAAAATATCACAATATTAGAGACAGTGGCGTCATTTTTCCTCAGAGCTTTCAGCTCTTTGATTAACATGTAATTTCATCCCCTTACTTAATATTTCATGCATAAAATATCAAGAAATAAATTGGGAAAGTGTATCAAAAAAAAATGCAAGTTATACACTGTTCACACTAGGGACTATATTTGTAGACAACGAAAACCAAAGGACGATAACTGTGTCCTTGGACCTTGTGCAATGTCAATTTCATCATGGAACACTTTCTCCACAATCAGTAGTTCATTAAGAGATGAAAATAAGTTGGACATTTGTGTTACAATTTAAAAAGCTATCATTGTATTAGTTTAAGTTGCACCCTTCCCCAGTTTCTCAGCCTCATACAAAAAAGTTTATATTTTTTCTGACATTGACCTTATATTGTTTATTTACTTCTTTCCAGAAAATTAGGCACTTATTGGCCTAGTTTTCTTTGTAGATAGATATAGGAAGATGTGGTATGAGTGCCAATGAGACAATAATTTAACTCTCCATCCAAGTAATAATTTATAAAAGTAAACCCTTATAGGTATACATTACATATGAAAACTAGCATATCATCTCTTGGTGTTTGTTGCTAAACAATAGTTTAGTTATGCAGTATACAGTAAAGTTTGATGTTTGCTTAACACATAATTTACTATTTCAATGAGTACTTACTGTGACACAAATTATTATTTAAATAACCTATGTATGAGCTTTCCATAATTTTTTTTTCGTGCTTAAAGATACTGATTTTATGTTTGATTTAAAGTTTTGCATTTAGTTCTGGTTCTAAAAGTTACAGAATTATGGTCTCTGGTGTTATAGTAATGTGTTTTAATCTCACCTGGCCCAATGGGCCAAGTGACCTTTCTTCTCATCACTTGGCATCTGTCGTCCGTTGTCTTAACTTTTACAAAAGTCTTTTCCTCGGAAACTATTGGGCCAAATTGAACCAAACTTGTCCACAATCATCCTTGGGGTATCTAATTTAAAAAAATGTGTCCGATGACCCGGCCAACCAACCGAGATGGTCGCCATGGCTAAAAATAGAACATAGGGGTAAAATATAGATTTTGGCTTATATCTCTGAAACCAAAGCATTTAGAGCAAATTAGACTCATCAGTAATGCTCAGACCAAAATAAGTAAAAAGCCAAACAAGTACAAAGCTGAAGAGCATTGAGGACCCAAAATTCTTAAAAGTTGTGGCAAATACGGCTAAGGTAATCTATGCCTGGGATAAGAAAATACTTCATATTTCAAATAATTCATACTTTTTCATACAATTAATTTATACATATGACCATATAATTAATATTCATGTCAGCACTGGGTTTGTGGTTCATTAGTAATTATTATTATATTTATATTTTCAGATTGTTCAGTTGAGTAACAAAATGAAATTGCTGGAATCGGAACTCACTAGGCTGGGTGATCTGCAGTACCAATTTAATGAAAACATTTACAAGCAGTTTCCAGAAACATTGAAAAAACAGAAAATACACCATAATCTCCATACTGAGCAACAAATCAGACTTCATGGGGTCCCTATAGGTTATACTACTGGTAAAAGTTAATAAATGTTATTTTTATACACCTAGCTGTTGATTATTTGTTAATTTGCTATTCAAGATGTTTGGATTTTTTAGTACTAATTTATCAGTTGATTTTTTTTTAAAACAAACTACAATTTGGTTGAATTTTAACAGGATTGATATTCCAGCATATAAAAGCATGTAGTCAAGTAATTGTTAAAACAATTTTCAAATTGAAAAAATTCAAAATTGAGAAAAGTAAAAAAAAAATATCCGGAATTGTTGAAAGACATGTATAAGATGAAGAGACAAAAAGACAACTCAGACCACACAGAATTGTAAAAATTAAGAACTGAATGTTATATAATGCAACTTATTAATTTGACATATTTTTCAATTTACCTACAATTGTATAATTATTTTTTTTATTTTAGAGACAGGGGAAAGCTGGTGTGGTATAGTCAAACATTTTCAGAGCATTACAAACCACCACAATGCCAACAAAGACACAGCTTTGAAGTTAGCTCATGTTGAGGAAGTTTGCCATATCATTGACAGTGGGACATGGTTTTCAAATGGGAAAAGGTATAGGACAGCATTTATCATGTGATAATTCTTATATGATTTGCATATTTGGGAATACATTGATATTAGTCGAGAAAACTTCGAGTAGCTGTTCTTAATGTTGTTTTTTTTTTTCGATAGACGACATTGACCTAACTTCTTTTCATAACCAATGTAAACAAGATGGTGGCAATGATAACACAATCTGGACCGAGGTTAACAAAATCTATTTTCACTTAGCGTTAATCGTTAAATAAAAAAATAAACACAAAACATTTTTTTTGAATGATAATAAGAGTTTTTGTAGTTTATTCTTTATCAGATAGCAGATTCACGAAGTACATATATTTTAGTTAACCAACATATATATTCTTGCGCTAGGCTTATTCAATTTCACAAATATAGAATTTACGTGTGATATGGGTTATGAGTATGGTTAAATGTATTCCTTATCTCCAATTCTAAAGAATTTTATCGCACGGCGGGTAAATTATCACGTTTTGATTGGTTTAAAGCCGTCACGTGGTGACCCCCTATGGATCCGTAGGGGGTTAGTAAATTTCATAGGGGGTTCATGACGTCACATCTACTGTTTATGGTGACGTCATCTATTACTGTTGTTGTGTTTCATTGTTTATTTTTCAGTAAAATGCCGCAGAAAAAGTCCAGCGAACGATAAATTCGTTATACGGTTAACTATTGACCCCCTACGGACCATAGAGGGTGAATAAAATCCATAGGTGATTCGGCCTCCGGCCTCACCCCTTATGGATTTTACTAACCCTCTATGGATCGGTAGGGGTCAGTAGCGAACCATATAACTTATAATAAGGAGTAAACACCTTTTAAAGGAATTTATTGGTGTAGAAACTGGACCAAGTCACTCACAAACTTCAGACTTTTATTTGTTTGTGAGTGAATTGATCGAGTTTATACAGGGGAACTAAAAGTAATATATTTTTTTACAGAGTTCAACCTGCACAACAGACAATTGAAGAGATAAATCATCCACGGATTCAAACTTTTGTAATGGGAAATAGGACACAGAAAGAAGATGGTAGGATTTTAGTTTTGGATACAATAATTTTTTTTAAAGTTGCTACAAGCTTTGAATGAAGTTGCAGAGGGTATCATGTTTTTGACCCGTTGTCTGTCCTTATGTCAGTCTATCAGTCCTGTTCTTGTCATCGCAACTCCTCTAAACCACACACCAGAATTTCATGAAACTGGTAGATAATAAAGACATACTTTGAAGGTGTGCATATTGACAAGAAATTGATTCAATTTTTTTTTCTAGGAGTAATGCCCCTTTGAACTTATTTGCCTCAATATACTACTGCAACAGTTTGTCATCGCAGCTCCTCTGAAACTGCACAACAGAACACCCTGTTGATATCTGTTGGGCTGTTAATGTATGATAAGACACCTAATTGCAGGATAAATTTATAAACCAAAACACTGAAAGCTAAAGTTTTAGGCATTATGACTTCCCACAAGAAACTGGGAGTTGAAATCAGATGCTATAGAATTGTAAGCCTATTCTCCTTAACTAATGGCACCTGTAATGTTAAACAATTAAAAGTCAAATCATTAGAAGTCAAAGTATAGTATTTTAATGAGTCAATAAATAAGTTAAAAAGGAAGAATGAAAGGAAATATATGTTCAGCTGTTCTTGAAACACTTAACACCATTTTCTATACAATAAAACTGAATTCTTAAATAATTTAGCAGATATCACTTAAATGTATTATAGTCTTCTTAAATAAATTGACATTTTACAATTTTTATTAGAACAAATTATAGGAGTGAAAAGAAATGTAGGAGACGAAATCAGAAACATGAAAAGGAAGGATGGAAGTAAATTAAACATTGGAGAAATTGTTTATTTTAAATTAGATGACCATGTAAGTATGCCATTTTTTTTATTCCAGACAAGTTTGTTCACTGTGATTTTCTCACATGCTTTTATCATGATAGATAGACAATAATAGTGCATTGACTTGACATTTCAACGATATAAGGATGAGGCTTAGAAACAGGGAAATGCGAGGCTCTGCAATCTAGAAAAAAACATTTTCAATTGTTGTTTAATGTGTTAATATTATTTATTTGATTCAAATATTGTGAAAAATCGCCCTTTAAAAGGCCTCATATCAGGCGGAGAAATATGCAACACAGTGAACTGTACATTACCTGTTGAAACCCTCAATCGATGGTGAACAAATTTGTTTGAGTATGGACTAAATTATCAACTATACATAAATCATTTATAGATTTCAAACAAATATTATTAACAAATGAAATATGTTTTTCCAAAATATGAAATAATTAAGTTTGAGTCGTTCCACGCATCATTGTAACATTGGAAACAAGAACAGGTTGAAGAGGTAAATATTTATGAGGAAAAGTGATATCAGGTCAGTGACGGTATGTGACAAAGAAATATACAGTCAACGCATTTTGACTGCTCAAATAGAATGAGTGCAGTATGAAATAATACAATATGAGTATGAATACCATTAAACCCCGGAGCTTGTTCATTGTCCAATAGTTCCAAGCTAATGATTGCCATATTAGAGATATGAACATGTTCAATTTAAGATGAAAACACTAAGTTAATATCAAAAATTATTACATAAACATGTCTGTTTAAAAACTAATCTGTGCATCTCCGGGTGATTTAAAACAAAAACAAAAATCAGATGTTACACACCTATTATGTATTTCCCCAGATAAATCACTCAATAATGAAAATTTTTCCTTTTGATAAGTTCATTGTTCATTTTTAGAATTAAAACAATAAACTGATACCAAGGGGTAGAGATACATTAATAAATGCTTATAAATGATTTTTTTTTATGGATTTTTATTGGTTGGAATCTAAAAGTTTTAAATTTTAAGATCCAAATTTAAAGTTTTTACACCTACCTTAATCAATTGTTGTAAAAGATGCAAAATATCATAAATTATGCAAACAATTCAAATTTAAAGTTGTTATTTTTTTGAAAGATAAAGTATCTTTAAAATGTTCTTTTTCAGATTAATTATGGTAAAATTGACTGCAAAACCAGTTCAGATGTTACTGTTTTGTTGATGATACCTCACCAGGAAGATCCCTTATTCCATTGCAAGAGCCTTACACTCACCACAAGAAGAAAAAGCTTGCCTTACAATATCATTGAGGGCTCTTTGTTTGTATCTCATGATTGTAGAAATGGTGGATGCTGTTCCATGGTTACAAACCAATCTATTAGACAATTTCGTCATAATTATAAACATGGTGTCTATCTTATTAACAGATTTAAAATTCATTTTAATTATAAACAATTTAATTCCTGATTTAAGGGCATACTATATAGTTAAGCTATATGTTCAGGTTAAACACAATAAAGGGAACAGTCCAAGTTTGCACCTGGGGTAAGAAATAGAGATCAGCACAATTGAAAAAGAATTGTTATCCTCAATTAATAATATTCGATTTTTACAAAACTTATTTGGTAAGTGAAAAAACTACTGGAAATGTTTTACATTTTAATTTTACATTCTAATTTGTATTTGGTTAGGCAAGTGCTCAGGTCACAGACACTACTGGTAATAGTCACCTCTGGAAATGTATGTCTTTAATAAAATATAACAAGTCTTTAAAGCACTATTATAATTCCAAAATCAACTAAGTATTATACCAAACAAAGAAATCACAGGAAAAATGTTATATCTTTTATATTTAGAAAAAAATAATACCACCATTCTTAATAAATGAAAAACCGGATTATTGGCTACCTTTTTCCATAAATTTTCTGAAAACATCAATACTTTAGGTGAATAAAATTTAGTCAAATATATTTTTCCGTCAGTCATACTACTGGAATTGTAAATAAGTCAAAAATAAAGGAAAATTTACCATAGAATATACTTGGGGTCATCAAAATAACTTTTAAATGCATTCTTCAAACAAACAAAAAACTCTAATGTCAAATACAGATCTATAACAATTCTACATGATTGTGTTCATAATATGAATTTGAAATAATACCAAAAAAACTCATCTTTTCAGTTTATAACCAACTGATACTAAATTGTTTTTTTAATAATATTTTCTGGTTTTAAATTAGTACATCAAGAATTTTAAGCAAATTATTGTTTTCATCATTTTTATGCCCTTCCCCCCTTTTCCTGTAGACATAGGCAATAGGGGCATTAAGAGTTACCCTTTACTGTCTGACCATCCCATTTTCGTCTCTGCACTTTAAATTAAGTATGACTTATAGAAATTTAATTAAACTCCTACACAACTCTAAATAAAAACTCACTTGCAGACAAGATCAAATTGAGCAGTATGTCAATAACCTTTCTAGAATTATGCCCCTTTATAACATGGAAAATTGCAATATTTTTTTTCTTGCAATCTAAAGTTTTCCTGATCCAAGTTTTATGAAACTCAAACAAAATGCTAAGAACCACGACAGGTAGACAAAATTCAAATATAGGTTGTGAGTCATTTACCATTCTTGAGTTATGCCCCTTTTTAACTTTGAAAATTGGAAAGTTTGGGTGGATACCTTCATATTCTAAGACACACTCTTATTCTATTTTTTTAAATTTTGTATCAAGCAATAAATGATGCTACATTAAGGCAGACTTCAAAGAATCTATACATTCAGCCATAGTAGTTAAACAAAAAATATTTATTGTTGTAGTGGACTGAAAATATTTTCAAGGCTATAAATGATCAACACTTAATAGATTTAAAAATGTATAGATAAGAAAATTAAGTTTTATTTCAATTTTTTATGGGCATTAAGATAATCTGAAAATGAATACATTTACAATTTGAATAAATTTAATGGAAAAAATATGGTCATTTTTGAAGGGCAATTTCAAAATTTCTGAAAAGGACAATTTTTGGATCTCTTATCTCACCTGAATTTAAAAATTATTTTAGTCAGAATTTTCAAATTTTTATAAACATGATAAAGAGAACTGTATTTATTGTATTAAGTAGTTTAGCTGTATAGCTAACACAATGAAGACATATTGTAAATGTCCCTTTTATTGTGTTTCCCCCTTTGTATGTGAATGTGTTTTAAGAATTTAACATAGACTACACATCATGTTTTATATTTGTATAAAAATAAGAGATGTAATATGAATGCAATTAAGACTATTATATATCCACTAGTCTGTTGTTGTTAACTTTTACAAAAATTTTCTCCTCTGAAACTACTGGGCCAATTTAACCAAATTTGACCACAATCATTATACAAAATGTAAGGGTGTCTAGTTTAAAATTTGTTCGACGACCCTGCCTGCCAACCAACATGGCTGCCATGACTAAAAATAGAACGTAAAATACCTGTTTTTTGCTTATATCTCTCAAACTAAAGCATTTAGAGTAAATTTGACATGGGTACAAATGTTCATCAGGTTTAAAATCAGTCAACCAGTAGTTGGGTAACGCTGCACTTGAAATATTAATTTTAAGAAAATTTTGGAGGTTTTAGTTATCTTGAATATTTTTATATATAGAAATAAACTGTAAACCCAATAATATTCAGCAGAGTAAGATCTACAAATAAGTCAACTTACCAAAATTATCAATTGACTCCTTAAGGAGTTATTGCCCTAAATAGTCAATTTTTACCAATTATTTGTAAATTTTTGTCATTTTACAAAAATCTTTTTCCTGAAAATAGAACATATAGGTAAAATGCAGTTTTTGGCTTATAACTCTGAAACTTCTAAGACAAATTTAATCAACCTTGGCCACAATCATGAAGAGGGTATCTAGTTTAAAATTGTGTCTGATGACCCTGCCTGCTCACCAACATGCTTGACATGGTTAAAAACAGAACATACATGTAATGGTAAAATGAGTTCTTGGCTGATACTCTGAAACTTAAGCAAAAGTATAATGGTTGCATTATTTTATGCATCAATTGTAAACAAAAAATTCAGGTGAACGACACAGGCTCCTTGTTTCTTGATATTGTATTGTTAAGAAATATATTAAATTCAAGAGGAAAACGGAGATGATTTCTTTCAATTTTACTGATAGTACTCATGGAAATAAGGTCTTAAATGTAATTAAGAAGCATACAGAGATTTTTTTAAAATCTGTATTTATACTGATTACAATCTAAATGAAAACTATAACTGTATTAGAATTTGGTAAAAATACCAAAGTGTACCACTAACTGAGCATTGCTATCTCATAGATTGAGCCATTTGCTTCCTTGTTTAGTATATTTCTTAGTAAAGTTTATTTATCAGTGTACATGAGTATCTGGTAAATTTAATTTCTAAAACTAAAAATAACAATATCAAACCTTTTGCATTTTGGCATTTTACAAGATTTGCATAAGAAATTTCGTGAAAATTTTAATGTACAATAAATCAATATATGTAAAGATATCTGGTTTTGAACACAACCATATTGTAAAATATCAGCAGTGAGTGCAGTCAATGATCTGAAAGGCAAAACAAAAACTTATTTTGTATTGATTTGTATAATGGTATAATGGTGTGATGGTGTTGTTGGATATCTGTAGACACTGTGATATTATTCAGTTATTATGAACCAAAACATGAGAATTTTTTTACTATAACAATGTTTAAGACCATAAAAAAAAGCCTGTTCTAGACCCTCAAAAAAGGGGCTCAAAACAAGTTAATCACTTTATTGCAATACAACATTTTATTAAAAAGTATGATGGAAAGCCTTTTTTCTTTGTATTCTTTGTATAATTTCCATTGTGATATATATGACAGTTTTAATATAACATTTATGGTTTATGAGTCAAAAGTTGTCTATACAGGGGTCAACCCTAAGTATTTGAAGTTGGAATTTTTTCTTTGTATACCATGTGAAAATTCTGGCCATTTATATTTGTGCTAGACTTTATTGGGTATCTCCATTCAAAAGGCCAAAATTTCCACTTTATTCCTATGAATTTTTTCCCCTAAATAGCCAGTGCTTATTCATAAATGATTTAAGTATTAAAATTTTCCTTGGTGATATGTTAAGCATGAATTATGATGCATTAATCACAGCCCTTTACATGTATCTAATCTTTATTGCCTTACCAGAGATATACTTGATAAGTTCTCTCTCATTGTGACATGACTGATTAATCCTGCACTTTTAAAAGATATGATAATGTTGCTGATACAAGCTTTATCTCTTTATCTTATCATTTTACAGGCAATTGAAGTACATCCAATCATATTGCTAAATCATGTAAAATTACATATGTAGGATAAAAAAAGTTGTTTGATTTATTGAGAAAATTATAGATATTAACTCTATGATGTTGAGAAGAGTGGTGATGTCAGAAGGCATCGATATGCCCCTGCTGTAGCAGAGGGGGCATTACATTTTACCTTTGTCTGTCTGTACGACAGTATGTCTGTATATAAGTCTGTACGTCCCAAAGTTGGTTCAAAACTGTCCGTTATCTTACTTTAGTTTGCCTCAACCAAATGTTATGAAACTTATACACAATGCTAGTTAACACAACACACAGATCAAGTTTGAATTTTGGTGGTGTCACTTTAATCGTTCTAGAATTATGTCCCTTTACAACTGGAAAAAATGCTGATTTTGTTTTCGTTTCTGTAATCCAACATAAGTTTACTACAACCAAATGTTATAAAACTTATAGACAATGCTTATTCAACAAAGTACTGATCAAGTTTGAATTTTGGGAGTGTACCAATTTTTTTTGTAGAGTTATGCCTCTATACAAATGTTTTTGTTTCTCTTCTCCAACTTAAGTCATCTCAACCAAATTTTATGAAACTTATACACAATACTTATGTCCCTTTATATAATATGCAAGCAGTGGTATCATCTGTGTCCAATGAACACATTCCCTATTTTTTTCTATGGCCATCACCAACACAACTGCATTTAACTTTGCAAACAATTTGAACTTTGTAACCCATACAAAAATAATTTAAAGCATTCTAACACCCATATTTTTTTTCTGTAATAGCCCTAACCTGATTTGAGTAATGCTCAAAGGTGATTTTGATAATTCGTAATTTATATGTAGAAAGATATTGTATATACACATGCATATAAACTACCAAAAAACTGTGTCTGTTTGTTTAATTTATGTTTATTCATTATAACTCTATTGCACATCATTACAGAAAAAAACAGTTTTTATCTCTCCTCGACAAGAGATTAAATTTGAGACTTAGGTATGCTATAAACAGGAAATGTCAGTTGAAGTGGAACCACTAATGGTATGTCCATGATATGTGGTTCGCAGCTCCCATCTCATGTACTTCCATGGAGATAATTTGGCCGGCCCATCAGTTATGGTCCATTGACTCTGAAACTTTTTTCTATTTAACTAACTTTCATAATTTATACATTAGACACAAATTTGTGTCTTAAGCCACAAAAAACTATGAAATATTATCAAGGCCATGTAATACCAGAGAAAGGTTTGGTCAGTTAAAGAAAGAATTCCAGCATGTAAACCTGTAAGAATTCAGATCTATGCACGCTAAAATATCTGTTCTTTCTGTTGTAAATAATTTAGATGAGAATTAAGTTGAAACCTACAGAAAACCTGATAGACAATTAACTTTCAGAAAATATTCTCTGAAACCGCTTGACATGCAGGGCTAAGACACCAACCATGGCAAAAATATACCTCGAAATTTTATTATTTATTACCGGTAAGGCTGTTCAAATCATTTACAAATGTTCCATCATGTATGTTATCGATTCTAATCAACTCTGTGACATCATAACACGGAATTTGTACTAATGTAAAAATAAGAAGATGCGGTATGATTGCCAATGAGACAACACTTGAGACCAAAAGACGTAGAAGATAATAATCAAAAGTGACTGTATAGACTTTTCGATGTGCAAACCCATACTGCATAGATAGCTTTTAAGGCCGCGCAATAACAAATGTAAAACAATTTAAACGAGAAAAACTAACGGCCTGATGTACGTATAAACAAAAACAAAATATGATATTTATACAATAACACAAACACTGAATTACAGGATTCTAAATCTTGACATACAGAGTGATGAGGG